ACGGCGGATGAAGCTCAAACGATTGGACTCCATCTTTGCATAAACATCAGTGATATATTGCTGATACAGGTTGCCGAAACGATGAAGATCATGTCTGTTTGCATCACTGTCATTGCCGCGTATCATGAGCCGGAACTTGTACCAATCCATGACAGTGATTTTGCTGCCGGCGTCAGTGCGAGCCTCAATCGTCCAGCCTTCATCTCCTATTACGAACACTTAATATGCAATGGAAATAACTCATGATGGAACTCAGGACAAAATTATTTTCTGTAAGTATACCTTGGGGGAAAAGGAGAACATAATGCATAGCATCATAAAAGCGATGCATTTCACTGATGTTTTGTAGCTGATTGGATCTCGTTCTTAGAACGATATCGCGATTGCCAACATCCGTACCATTATCATCGACGATCAAAATGCCGATTTCGCCAGCAGTGGGGCGGTTGTAGCGGCGAGCATCGGGTACCCCTTCAGCCCTGATAACCATTCTCACATCCGCCATGCCTTCATTGCGAGCAATTTCGGCCATGTTGCGAAATGATGTCGCGAATGGGCTGATGCGGTGCATCATATCCTGCAAGGTCTGTAGCGTTTCATTGATCAACGTAGCGTTTGTGACGGACTGTCGGGTTTGCAGCTCGGTCGACGGGTCGTGAACGTAGATTTGCGCGAAAGCGGGCCTTGTTGTGTTGTCGGCAGGCAAAATAGACCCGATTCGATGGTGGACACTACCGTGGATGCGGAAGTTGTACGCACCACCGATGGAGTTGGCTACTGTCTGATCAACGTGAACACCAAGCGAAGTAAAACTGAGGGAGTTGTTGTATGCGCGGATGTTTGTGCGGAATTGGGTGGAGGCCTCATCCGTGCCACGCAACAAACGGGAAATTTCAGGAGGGGTGGGGGAAAGGGGTGGCAATCGGACACTTCCTTGGTCACAGCATAGGCTAAATGCAGGTCGTACTTGGGAAGAGTTTGAGATGCGCTCTTGAATCCAAAGACGTGCATGGCAATTAGAGCATTCCCTGTCCATGCGACCAAAATAGTGCCGGGGAGGAATCACAGCTGCAACAGCACGGGCGATATTATGCATCTACATGAAGTAAAGGATCATTAATTGATATACTGAATGCTCAAGCTTCTGACAGCCGATGACTATATATCAACGAATAGCAAGTATAGCTGGTATAGATATGGTCACTAACGTTTTGAGCAGCCTGGTTTGCAGGATTGTTTGGGCACAATCGGTTGGTGGAGCGATGATGACCCTCTTGCCCACAGCTTGAACACACAGGAACGCGTTCTTCGGTTTCAATTCCAGCTTCATGTTCATTTTGCTGACGCATTTGCAACCGAGCGGGATTATGAAGACAGTTGCGGTGCGAAATGCGTTGATGGCCGGGCAAGCCGCATGAAGGGCAAATTGGAGTTGACATGTTTGTTGATTGAAGTGAAGATTAGAAGTGAGTTTTGAAATGCGAGAAGAGAGAAGAGCAGTATACAGTGCAGCTCTTGTTTCTTTGTTGCACACAATAACTATTATGATCTCAGCAGCAAAACTCTCTTTGAAAAGCACTTTTTGCTTATATTCTCAACGCTCAAGGTCATGTCAGCAAGTCAAAATGTCAGGATTAGAAGATTGAGATGGCGTGTCTAACAATGATATATGCCTAAAAAAGTAAAGATTACTGTACACTGTGTAAAATTATGTGTAATAAAGTCAAAGTAAATAGTAGAGATGGCTGAGAAAAAAGAGTAAGAGAAAGAACAGCACAATGTCAACTTCCTTTTTGATATTGTTCATGTATGACAGGCATTTAGTAGCATCCGCACTTCGAATCGACCAGCTACTGCTGTCTTTAAATTATATGTGATGGTGTGTCTGTTCTATCCCCTCCGAACACTACCTCTCTAAATCCAAAATACTTGTATCGCTTGTTTTCTTAAAACAATAATATAATATATATGATTTTGGACTGTTTATTTATTGTATCAACAGAAAGTTACTTTTTGGTTTGCTTTGAAGTACATTGGTTTTCGTGAAATTCTGCCATTGCTTCATCTATCTCATCCATGACGTCTCTTGGATATAAGTATAAGTACTTGTAGTCGTCCGTTAAGCCTTCCTTAATCTTGCCTGGGTAAGCCTTACACATCGCCCTGTACTGCTCAACTTTTGCCAAGATTTCTTCATCGGATGGGCGTGGAGAGAATTCTGTGTGGCTTGCTGACATGGAGATGAATGTTTTGTGATAAAGAGAGAGAGAAAAAGTTTTGTGTAGCATTTAATATTTACACACTCTGTTGTGCTTACAGCTTTATTCTACGTCGGAGGTAAACAGTGAAGCCACATTTTGATCGTTTGAATGCTAGAAGACAATGCTGTAATGGTTACACGGTCGCCATGGCGACGAAAAAGCGTTATGGACAGATGGACATATCGAACGCGTAAAGAGACTGTGAAGGAAAGAAAGGAGGAGGAGATTGAAAAGATTTCCTTTTTTGTGAGTTATAAATCGTAAAACTGAAGGATTTTAATAAATAGATTATATTTTTAATTTTTACTAAGTTTTTTTTTTGTAACTCTTAAACATTTTTTGTAATCACTAAAATATTTTGTGAATTTTATAAATACAAAAATTTCTTAAATATAAAACAGGGGTGGTTGAGAAACTTGCTTTCGAAACGTTGGGGCTTGATAATGAGATTTAGACAAATAACAAAAACATTTATGTTTTGTTATTATAAGAGAGAACAAATACTATGATTTGTTCCTCATGAAGAGTGTATAACCACCATCTAGGGCTATACAATCTTGTTGATAAATTTTATTATATAATTTCATATTTAACATCATTCCACCATCACTACTAATACCACATAATAAACTTTCTGATACATTAATTATGTTTTCATTTATATCTATTAATATTTGTGTTCTAATACTACTACTTTTTAATTTATAAGACCATTTTTTTAATTTAGAAATATTAGGTTTATTATAATCTACAGTAGTATTATGATCATTGTTATACTTTTATATTGTTTAGGGTTTTTTATTTTTGCTGATAAAATTCTAATTTTAAGATTACTAAACATCTTTTTAGGCATATATTAATAAAATGATTTAAATTATTATAATTATTAATCCAGAATTCTTTATAGAATGAATAAAATGTAGTGTATAGCATATATTGTTTTATAGTCTTGGAGGTAAGACCTTCTGTTAAATGATATAATAATATTAATGCTTTCTCAATTTCTACATAAGGTGCAGGATATTCTTTGTTAGTGTATAATATAGTGATAAAAAAGAATACTGCAATATAACCTAATTTATTTAATAATTCATTTTTAATTTCTCTAATTTCTTTTACATTTTTAATCTCAGCTCTATGTTTATATTTATTTTCAATCTAATCTTTACTTAAGAAACACCATTCCTTTAATACTAAATTATTTATTTCATTTTTTAAATCAATTTTATATTTTTTTATTTCTTCATTATCTTTATTTACATACTCATCCATAATTTCAATATCAGATTCCATTTTAATTTTATAATGAAATCCAATTTTTATAAATTAAATATGCAAAATAGAAGTCATGTGATATTTTAAAAAATTAAAAATTTGATTTATTAGAAATAATAATCTAAATTATATTAAGTATATACTTTAAATAAGTTAAATGATTAATAAAAACAAAAAAAACAAATTGTTTAAGAAATAACTTATACATATTATAGATGAATAATAATAATTGTTGCCTAGTATTTTTATAAAATAATCAATAATCGGACTTTAAAATAAATGCCAAAAAATAAAATTTTATGACACTTTTTTTTATTTATAAAATCAGCAAATTAATCATTAAATAATAAAATGTGAATACATATAATAGTTATGGTTTATTCTTCCTAGTCAAGGTGCCAGTTGTTGATGAAGCAGAAATTGCTAAGACACTTTCGCTCATTCCCTACCCTATGGCTCTAAATGCCAAGGAGAAGATGGTAAAGAAAGCAAGTTAGGATGATGTTGAGCGCCTTCTCCTTCAAGGCTACTACCATTCTGAAGGAGGTGCCTTGAGCAAAGCCTAGACTGACATCAAGCACATCTACGAACGTGTTGTGGATGATCTGGCGAAAAGATTGCAGAATCGTGCTAACAACAGCGTGACCCACTACTTTGCTAAGCTACAAAGCAAAGACAGCAACTGGGCTATTAGCCTTTTTATGAACCTGGCAAGAAAGCAGGGAATTGATTTACTGTCTGCCAGGACCAGTGGGCAGCTCGCCATATCCTCCAGGAATGCTGGAATAACTATGGCAGATCCAGCAAGTCGAGAGTGGCTTCTAGGTATGATAACTACTACACTAGAGCAACTACAATCAAATATATCAACTATCAGGTAGACAACAAAGAACCAGCTTATGCTTCTGCTGCTCCTCCTGTTTCTGCTTCTCTTCCTGTTTTCGCTTCTGCTTTTCTTCCTGCCCCTGCCCCTACCCCTTCCCAGTCCACACAGTCTACCAAACGACGCCGTACGACAAAGCGGCTTGGAGCTGCTTTTCCCCCTCCAAAATAAACATATTTGAAAGGTAAGTTAAAGTATTAGAAAGTTCGATTATTTTATAAACACACACACATACACGTATATATATAGTGAGAGTGTATGTGATATAGAGAGAGATAGAAAGGGGTGGTTTTTATTTGTATATGCTCGACCAGTATTCCATAAATCAATAAACCTTAGCTAGTATCATGTAATTGAATAAAGCTATTTTTTTTAAATCTATATAATAGATAATCCACAAAAATGTTCTGTTATTTTCTTGTGAACGTGTGACTGCATTGATATTCCATGAAACTTTTTGTGATTTTCTTGTGAACGTGTGACTGGTTTATTGCTACTTTAAATTCACAAGAATCCACAAGAATTCTTGTTACTTTACTTAGACTTTACTTAAGAGCTCTTTCCACTATTCATCACTTTTTCCATAATTGGCAATAACAAAGCAAAATCTATTCCCTTACTTTCTCCTTTTATACCATCAAACCATATAAACAACATACTCTCCCGCACACACCAACCCACCACCAGCCCTACAACGCTACTTTAGCAGCGATCAGCTACAACCAATGCAATGCCGCCTAACAACGATTCCCAGTCGACTCATCTGCTGACGACCCACGAACTCGACGCTCTCAGCAAACTTTTTGACGTGAAGAAAAAGCAACTCGTCTGCAACAACGCCCAATGCTCCACTTCGGCTATCTGCCGTCACGGTACTACCAAAAATACCTCGCCGCCCCAACCTCAATTTCGTTGCACCAACTGTACCACTGTGTACACTGCTCACCAGATGCAACAGCTCCTCAGTCACCTCAACGTTCCGCCACAGCACCATACAGGTACCATAACCCCCACATTGCCCCCTCACGATGCAAACATGAACCTTGAAGCTACCACCCAACCCTTCACAGACTTTATAACCCATGTTATGAATGAGCTGAAGACACAGCGCGAACGCCTTGACCAACACGACATGATGTATGCCGAGATACAGCACCTCAAAGCAGACCTACAAACAGCCAATGACCACATCGTTGATCTCGAGGACACCAACCGCCAACGCTGACAGCAACTTGCACACCAACAAATGGGACAACAGTGGGATTCGACAGACTTTCCCCCGCTTGCAACGCAACTATCGACTCAAAACCCCAACAACAGCACGGCCAGACAATAGGCACAGCCCCTAACTGCACGACTTAAGAAAACACCGATTTCAGCAGCAACCGAGTAACGCAGACTTGAAGCTGCGGCCCGAGCGTTCCAAACACTGTCAGCTACACATGGCTTCCAATATCTCTATTTCCCGTCTCGTGCACGTATGCCTATCGGGCAAATGAGAGCGAGACTTTGTAAACTCGGAATCAATAACAGCAGAGTTCTCGACATCCAATATCCGGCCCGCCACATCATTGGTCTCCTCGTACACAATGACTGCCTAGACCACCTCTGAGAGAAATTCCGAGCTGTGTGCATTAACCCAGTGGATTTTGATCCACTCGATCCAGCTGTTATTAACGATCCTAAATACCAAAATGCCACCCTTGACACTCACACAAATCTCGCACACGAGCTACAATGCAACCGTGCTAAACGGGCCCTTGTGTTTATCCGCGCCCCCATTAAGTTTGCCGTCGCCCGCTCCTTCCACGATGAAGGATGGATCTCTATTGAAGAACTCAAACACTTCCTTGCAACTAAATTAGGGGTCGCAATTGGACGGGTCGGGTCGGGTCAAGGGTCTGACCCGTTGACCCACGGGTCAAGAAAACACTGACCCGACCCGACCCGTTCAACCCGACGGGTCAAAACTCGGGTTTATAGGTCACTACTGATTTTGATTTGGTGACAAAGGAGGTGTCAATCAACCTGAGCTTGAGCACTGGAAGTGCAAAACTACATGTATACACAGCTCTCTAAGATGATGGCACGCAAATTCCTAGCAGTGCTAGCAATATCTACGTTTTGTGTGATTATTCTTAAAGGTAAAGGGTTTGTGCCATAACAAAAGAAATCGTTTGCGCTCACATGCATTAAAGAAAGCATAATGGTTAAAGTGTGGTTAAAAATCGACTTCCTTTAAATGCCCCTAATCCTTTTCCCTTTTCCCTTTTCTTTTCATTTCTTCCTTCTTCTTTCATTTCTCTTTTCTTAATTCCTTCTACGTCTTTTGTCAAATCTCGTCTCTCACTGCCACTCTCTATTGTCTATTCTCATTGTACTATTGCTACTTCTTTACTTTGCTACTTCTTTACTTTGCTGCTTCTATACTTTGCTACTTCTTTACTACTATTACATATATTGCTTATAGCTTACTTATCTTACACTTTTGAATATAAAATATGATCCCACAATGAAAAAGAATATAAGTACGTTTTATGTTACAGTTCTATAGCAGACATATTGACAACTACATCTTTAATATAATGATCCTTTCCAACAAGAAGATTGACTACTTGAATACAAGTACCTCATAGATATCATATGTATACACGGGTCACAACGGGTCAACGGGCCGGGTCAAGGGTTAGACGGGTTGACCCGCGGGTCAGAACAGCATCAACCCGACCCGTTGACCCGTCCTCAACCCGCGGGTCGGTTTTGACCCGCGGGTCAGATTGCGACCCCTAAACTAAATGGTCCCATCCCGACGACCCTAATGTAGCTGCCTCTGCCTTCCGCCTAGGAGCTAGTGACGACGAGATGTCTACTAACAGTACTTTTCATAATGGACACAACGACACTAACAGCATAACCTTCAACACCAATCTCACCTCCCTCCTATAATAAAAACAAACAAACAGGAAAGTAAGAAAAACAACAAAAAAAGAATTATGAGCAATAACATCACCCTAACACTATTCAACACAACTGGTCTGCGCAAGCAAGCCATCAACTCTATTCTTACTCACACCCCCTCATCCCACCTACTATTTCTCGTCGACACCTGGCTCTTACCACCAAACAGATACTACACCTCCTGGACACAACATCATGTTTACGGTGTCAAAGGCAATCCCTTATCCTACCATGGTCACTTAGGCTTATCTCTCTTAATCAATCCCTCCTGTCCATATCATGTACACTTCCTTCCCGGTACTACCACCCCACATTCCCTTTATCATCTTTCATGTATTGTAGCCAACACCCTGATTCACTGTGTATATCTACCTCCCGCATATATTTCAGTTGAATTTGCGATAGAAGTACAGATGTCTTGATAGAAAGTTTCTCTTTACTGCACCGGAATCCAATAAGGGACACAGTTGCGCACATGCACCTAGCTGGATTGAAATGCGAATCCTTCATATAACTCAGTAAAGAAACCAAGTATGAAACAACCGTCCAAGAACACATCTCAAACCATCATAAAAGTTTTTAATTCGTTCTTACAGCAAAGCACCAGTAAGGTCCTTGCTGACAAAGAAGTTGATAAGCTTTCCACCTTCAGATCTGTTTCTCTGTTAAGACCGAGTTCTCAAATAATGTTTGAAAGCTAGATATAAAAGAAGATAGTTTCTATAGCCGATATTGTACTTCGTTCAATCTTTTGAATATAATCCATTCTCAAACGACTTATTTGTCTTTGTTTATTTCGATTTACCACAATCATCACTTATTATAAAATTCTTACTACCCATAGAATATATCACAAACAACAACTAAAGGTATAACCCCAAAGGAAAAAGAACAAAAGAAAGAAAATCAAAGGGAGGATGAGCTGTCTACTCTATAAATATTCTCTCCAAAAAAGACAATAAAAAATTATGAACTGAGAAAGAGATGCATGCTTTATTATATGGCACTGCTGCCAGAGGGGATATTAATTTCAGGATATCAGTATGTCAGATAGTAGCTCAGAGGATAACAGATACTGACGAACTATTGAATAAGCTATAGGGCTTTTATATCTTTTTACTATTGCTACGAACTATATATATTGCTTGCTAATATGGCTTTGCTACTTGGCATTCTGGTTTAGAGCTTGTAAGAGAAGAAATTTCTTAGTCGAGCATGCTGACTGCCTATTAACCAACGTGATCGGAGACAAATTCGGCATACTCAAAAATATGTTTCCAGTGCGCCTGCCAGATAGCAAGTAATAAATAAGTCGAAAGAGAGCTTCTTATATCTGTTGTCAAGTTGAGGCGAAGTAGTGTGCGTAAGATGGAGGTGCTGATAGTCGAGAAGATGAGGTGTGGCGAGAAAAATGGTAGCAAGTTGGTCCCAGACTGAGCGTTTCCTTGGATAGTTCCAGATAAAGTGTTGATCAGTATCACGTTGCTCGCAGGAAATGTACAAGTCGGAGGTGTACCTGTCCGAGATCAATTGGTGAAGACGAGAGCGTCAAGGGAGCTTGTTGTGGTAAAAACGCCATAGAACAGTATCATACGTGCCAGGTGGGGAGTGGTGCCTTCCCAAAAGTGCTTCCATACTGCTCGGGTTTCCCGTGGATAGATGACAGGTAATGTTGACAGTGGTGTGAGATGGATTTAGCAATACAGTTGGTTGGTTAACTCGTCGATGGCAAATCCTGTCAGAAGTGTAGGGCGGACGAAAGTTCCTGGGGTCGTAGGTCGCATGAGAGGCAATCGTAGTGGGCATCTCCGTTGACTCGTCAGGTAATGAAAAAATGGTGGGCAATGCTGTGTGCGAGAGAGCAGCGACCCCGTTACAACTCGAAAAACGGAGGAGTTGATTACGTTGTTGCTGGCGTGGCGAGTGAGTTGTACGACGTAGCAGGCCTGTGTGAGGATCTAATATGAAGCCCTGATTAACCCGCAAATTAGTCCAGTTGTATTGGAGGTTGGTTACTGAGTGGTTCGTCGGAAGGTCCCGAAACAACTAGCTGTAGCGGCAAGTCTGCAACGACGTCAGGGGTGATCGCCTTAAAGTTGGTATCCAAGGCTAATGAGTCATAGGTCTTGAGAATATTGTGTCCAGTTTGGATTGCTTTTATGTTGGGTGTGCGGCAGCTGGCAAAAACCATAGGAGTCAAAGGATCCCGGGCGTCAGCGAGCGCGGCTAAACAGAGCCGGATGATTGGTAATGACAATGAGTCTGGATCATTGTTGTTAGCGGTGATCAGTGGAATCACCCAACGTAACTGAAGTGGTTGATGTTGAATATTGGGATCAATGATAGACAACCCTCCCTCGTAACGTGGGCGCGTACTTGTTGCGAAGCTGACTGTTGGAAAATTGCGATCTTCAGAAATTGTATGAGGACAGACCGAATTTTGTTGAGAAAAGATGTCGGTATTGGTAAGATTCTTATAATATGTTAGAGTCTGCTGGTGATAAGGGGGTTGGCGACAAGGCCTCGGCCAGCAATGGATAGATTGCGAGCGGTGTGAAGGTCGACATGATTGTTGAATGTATGGAAGAGATCAAGAAAAAACGGTCAAGCTGGCGTGGCGCACTGGTGAGAGGATACCCCAGGTAAATGACCGCATCGTCAGCCTGTGAATCGTGCCATTAAGTGACACCCGCTGAGAGTAAAGAGCGGCGCCAGCGAGGCTGGTCCGCGCCTGATAGAGAGGCAGCAACCGTTTTATCCCGGTTGACCCGTGCATTGGATGCCTGATCATAGATTTCGACGAGATTCAAAAGGGCAACCAGTTCGTGCATATCTTGCAAAAAGATCAAAACGTGATCGGCGCAAGCCAAAGTTTTGATAGCCGAGACGCATCCCTTATGGCCTCAAAGGCAGCAGGAAGGGCCACCACATTAACCAGGGCCGCCCACAACAACACTGCTGAGGGACCCAACATTTGAATTGTCAAGGGTCTGTTAAAGTACAATGGCAAAGTAATCTTATGACCACAGTCATTAATACCAGTGTTAGAAGAAATAAAGCAGTATAAAAAGTAGGCATTTGTCTTATACTGTTGAAGAACAGCATTGGAAAAAGTTTTTGGCATCTTGGAACACTGATTTGTTTTGGCTTACAAATCTTTGTTAACTCTTTTGGACGCTAAAGCAAAGTTGAATGGCGAAAAGCACAAACGGAGGTAGCAAACTGATCAAAGAAGGCGCGGGGTAAAAGCTTGCATATTATGATATCGCAAACTCTTACTTCTGATAGTTCAGTATCTTCTATATATCTGTTTCATCCATCTACAACACAACACCAAAATACACAGCACAATAATAAAATGGTCACTTTTCAATAATAACAACAGAACTAACAGAAACAGGATACTACTAGCGCGCACTCTAGGGAGTATTATCATCTCCATCTTTGCTGTAGAATACTGTAATTAATGGGATGAACGGGCATAGAGAGAAAAAAAATTTGCTTTGCTATATAATAAATTTGATCCTTTACTAGTATATATATGTTGATATATATATTTGCTTGTGAAGGAAACGCGATTCCTTTTTCTTTTTGAATGCGATGCGACGTTCGCGCTGAACTATTAATTGGTGAAAGAGTGATGGTACAATAGCTAGCTGAATACTTCATCGAAAATAGTGACCCTGGACATTGTCTACTTCATCTCAAACTTTTAGCTTTTCTCGAAATCGCGTAGTTACAAATGCCTCGTTTGCCTGATCCAGAATCGCTTCGCAGTGACTTATTCCCAGTATAAAGATGTTATAACTGGTTACCTGGGAACTACTGGAGAACCTTGATAAGCAAGGAAAAACGCTATACTAATGGATGGTCTAATATTGGACGCGTTTAAATGAGGATGGTAGTAAGTATATTATAGTAGGGTGTTGTGTTGCCTTTGTGCTATATCCCTGAGGTCTTGATAATGTGAGAACCAGCGGAATAACAGCAGCATAATGACAATCCCGATCACCATGTGATTTTTACACACAGATTTCTTTGCCATTGTCAGGGTAACAGGGACGCACATCTTGAACGCCAAGGAGACGCACACTGCAAAGCAAGTCCAAGAAGGTTTAATGCCCTGCCATCCTTGAAGTCAAGCGGTATACACACAATCTTGAATGGGTGATTTTTTCATTTCTACAATGATCACAACCACAGGCTTGGTGTTTTACGCCATCTTCCAAAACCAGCAAGTCTTACTGCGCTCATCACCAAGAGTTTTGAGCAGGTCGACGATGTTGCACGAGTGGTGCAAACGGTCAACGACGCTGTAGATGGTCAGCAAGGACGGGGCGGGCCAGGTGACTTACGAGGATGTATACAATGTATGCTACAAGATCCATGCCAGCCGCTCTCAAAGAGCATTCAACGATTTTGAATCGATGGGTCTCTGTATGCATAACTATGAGCAGGGCAAGGGCCATTACACATTTGTGTATGGACAAAGCAAGCAGATACCTGACGGCACTCGCTCATCTTTGTTTGCTTGCGATTTTATAGCCTCATGGCAAGAGGAAAATTTGCTGACTGAAGAAGGTTTTTGTTTGGATGCCACACATGATATCACTATTTATCCAGTGCCATCATGTATACAATTGTCATCCGCAATCGAGGAATAGGTCACGGCCTTCCTGTAGCAAACCTGATCACGAACGATCAATCATCCGAGCCATTGCGTCAATGGTTGAGGAGCCTCAAGAAACGAGGCGTCTCTCCTGAGCAAGTTACGATCGATTGTAGCCAAACAAATAGAAGGCGATCAAAGACACTTGGGACTCTGTTGGTGTACGGTTATGAGCCTGGCATGTGATGAGATCATGGCTTAGCAATAGACGCAAGAAAGTTATTGTCGGTAACAATGAAGAGAAAGAGTCCGTAGTTAATGCCATTTTCGGCGATCGACATGCTTTGATGTATAAGCAAACAGAATCAGAATATTTTGCAAGTATAAATCTCTTCCTTGCGCGCTGGTCTAATCAGAAGCTTTCCTTCAGTACTTTCAACAACAGTGGATTCATAACTGGGGATGTGGGGTAGATTTCTGTGGAGGTTCAGTAAAATACTTCGATGGTAGTTTGACAACTGTGTTTGTAGGCAAATGAGTTTTTGCGCCTTCTTGCTTTGTTCAATCCGGTTCACAATTCGACAATGTTGGCAACGGTGGATGGTATTCAGGCTGCTACTTTGTCTGGTTTTGAGCGAGAGCAGTTACGCGATTGGATAGTTGAGGTATAGAAACCATAAACCAAAATGGTTGCATGACTTTTGTCATGTGTGTATGGGATGGTCAAAAGAAAAATGTTACCAGTCAATCGTGCTTGGGGGCATATGAAAAAGCAGTTGGGGGAGATTGTAATTTTTTTGATGTGTTCCATGGTGCATCTATTTTGTGTATAGCCCTCAATGACGATAATAATTCAACGCAATATTGGCTGCAGGAAAATCGCTTCCATAGCGAAGAATGCGTTTTTAAATATCAGATTAACCAAATATAAATACAGAGAGAGAGAGAGAGAGAGAGAGAGTCCAACCGAGAGTCTGCCGGGAATCTCTATTTCCCGATTCTTTTTTTAACCCAAAATAGGCTAGCGTGATTCTGCGAGCTGCACAAGCGAGTGTTAAAAAAAACTCCATTTGCCAAGCACAAGGGTTTTCTATCTTCCTTCCTCTTCTACATCCCAGCTACTACTACTTCTACTTTTTTTCCTTCAATCAAATAACTATGGCAAACAATCCATTTGAAGATAACCCTTGGTCAAACCAAGCCGGTGGTGGTCCGCGTTTCGGCAATGCTTATGAAGATGATCCACACAATGCATGGAGCAGCAGCAACAATGGTTCGACACGCATGCCGTCCCCTTCCGATTATCGTGCCAGCAACAACAACAGTACTAGTATGAATGCCTGGAATGAATCCAACAAGACCGAATACCCGGCTGGCACAACAGACTCGCCTTATGAACGTGTATCCACCAGTACACCCACGCAACCGCAAGACGCTTACCAGTTTGCAGGAACACGGTTGGGTGGTGATGCAGACGATGGTGGTGGTGGTGGTGGTAACGCTTATTCTAAAGTTCAAGTCAGCAGTGACACGAGCTCGCCATCACCACGACCACCGCCTACACCGGCTGGCGGTAAGCCAAGACCTAATCAGGCCGAGGTCGAGGAAGCGTTGCCTCCTGCATGGGACAAGTCGAGAATGAACCCAAATAAGTGGCGATTATTGCTACGCGCTTTGCAGTTGATTGCTGCTATCGGACACCTTGGGTTTGCTGCAGGTGCATCACCGGTGAGTTTACTTTTCCTTTTATCCTTTGATAGCGGAGGGAAACGAGATGGGATACTACTGCGAATTGGAATAAAACTAACCTTTGGAATACAAGTACTCTGGCAACGAAGTTCCATTTGATAGCTCTGCGTGTTTCTACTTTCTCTATGCTGTAGTAAGTACAAAGAAGTGTAGGGTGAAACAACAAAGTGGTGATGATGATAACGACCCTAAAAACGAAATGGTGTACGTAGGCTATCCTGACGATCATCTGGGCAATGTTCCACCTCTCGTTCTATTGCTACCGTCGCGTGGCCCATGGAAACAAAATGAACCGTGTGTTGATGTCTGGTATTGATCTGTTGCTCACCATTCTGTGGGGTATTGGCACCATTGTCGAGATTGCCATGTTCCCGTGCGGACCCGGCGATAACAATGGCTGGTGTGATTTCTACAACGTCAGCATCTTCTGGGGCATGCTTTCGTTTGCACTGTTCATTGCTGCTGTGGGTTGGGATATCCTTGGTGCCTGTGTTGCTCGTAGAAAGTAGCGCAAGCAGTTTTGCTCTTACTATTACAATCAACTTTTACTACTACTACTAACTTACTCATTATTCATCAACACACACTTTGTAACATACCGTTCATGCATCCTCACTGCCCGATTACTTCCCAAAACCCTTTCCCCATCTTGTTTTTATGTTTCGTTACTCTCTATTATTAAATCTAATATACTATCACTCAATCTCCTGCCCCTATCACATTCCTTTCTTGGTTTTTATTCGATCTTAACTCACAATCAAATGAAATGTCTACATATTTAGATCCACTGTCTACATGTATCTGGGCTATGCAGCAAGTCGCAAACGTCTTTTTTCCATAAATCTCAACTAGAAGAACTTGACAGGCTTTGTCAACCAATGGTTGGTTTTTTTTTCGTGAAATATACATTTTTTTAATCGATTAAAGAATGCAACATGATAGAATGTGTATGTACAAAAAAGAAAACTATGCCAAATATGATGAAAATAGAGAGAAAGAGAGAGAGGTGTAGTAGTACTTGTGGGGTAGATGATAATGGATGGCACCATGTGGTTACTACACATAGAGAGAGACATTGAGAGCAGGGGAAGGTATGTCGATCGATTGTTCATTTCCAGTAGTTTGCTTTGCTTTGTGCAATATATACGACACAACGATACTAACATGCTCTCTAGAATGTAAAGAAAAAATAATAGCTTTGTTGGTTTTCAAGTGTGGGAGAGGGGGGTGGGGAATCAATCAGAAAAGCGAAAGCGAGTGGGGGAAAAAAGACGCATTAAGTAACGTTCGTGTGCGCATTGTGCTTTTCGGTCGAATGTTGCTTTGTTTTAGGTGAACGAAGGTATATGTAGAAAGAAAAGTAAGAGAGACCCAAGTGGAGAGTTCGGTGTTCATTGATGTGGCGATGGCGCATTGAATAAAGTATTGGAAGTAGTAGGACACATGGAAGTAGTAGTGGTAGTAGTAGCCGTCGTCGCAGCAGCAGTAGATATGCGTATCATGGATATAGCTTCTGCCAAATCGCTTGCATTTTTGTTGCACAACGACCGTGCTGCTCTGAGTCGACCGTTGCTGCTGCTGCCGCCGCCAACCATCATACTGCTGCCGCTACTACTACTGCTACTGTTGATGTTGTTGCTTCCCGCTGTTGCTGCTGCAGTATGATATCGTTTCTTGACAATCCCCCCTCCACCTTTTCGTTGCTGTTCTTGTTGCGTCCGTCGTAACAGCTTGTCCAAAACTCGTGCATGGTCCCAATGCGTTGTTGCGGCTGACGCTGCTGTTGTTGACGATCGTCTTCGAGCCCTTCCCCCATGACTTACAAAGAGAGGTTGTGCTTGTGGAGGTAATGGTGGCTGCGCCTGGTGGTTATATTGGTCATGTTGTTGGTGAAAGGGATCTTGGAAAACAGAATTATGATTATGATTATTGTGTGATGATGGCGGTGGTGGTGGTGGTGGTTCTGGTGAATTCGTTCGAACCACTACTTCGAGGGATCGGCTGAGCTGTTTAGCAAACACTGCTTCGAGCATAGAGGGTTCTTGTGGCGATGGTGGCGGTGCTGACACAATATAAATTTCTTCGTCCTCTTCCTCGTAATAGTCATCGTCATCATCGTCTTCAATATCGCTGCCTAGTGGATGGTGTTGGTGTTCATTTTCTAGAATGGCGCCAGTAGAAGTAGTAGTGGTGGTAGCCTTATCGGTAACCGATGCCGTGGTGGACGCAGACGACGCCACGATAGCAGCTGTGCTATTGCTGCTATTATTTCCTTGTATTGGCCACGGCGTAGTGTACTCTGGTATAGAATTGAGTGGTGAATCGACGCACATTAGCTGTTCTGCTTCATTCGGGTTGAGTACACTGGAATCCATCAAGAATTTAGAAATAATAAAAAAGAGAAGCGGGAACGGAAAAGAAGGTTTTTTTTCTTCTTTTGTTTAAAAGAGTACACTACCGCCCTTTTATAAATATCGCCGCTGGGTGGAAGAGGTTTCACGCTGTAGTACTAGCTCTTTTCCCGTTTCCCCGTGTATCTGCATGCTCTCGGTTATAATGCGCAAAGATTAAAAGCTCCCCTCTTGTTTTACATTTTACTTTTCTTTTTTCTTGATTGTGAAGAATAAACGCTCATCTCTTTCGAAGAAAAAAAAAGCATCGTGGCAGACACGTTATTGAATCAAAGAATGCCTGGCCCACCCCATCAGTCAGAACTATTGAAAGAAGTATGCGAGACAGGGCCAGCCTTGAATTCGCAAAGGGAATATACCACAAGCTACACTAGTGCTTGCTGCAACTGCAGAGAAAAGAAAGGCATTGATGGTATCTTGACTCACCCCACAACAACTGCCATGGCACCTTGAATATCTTATTAAATTTTGTATGACCGTGCTTCCCCTCCTGTCGTGACAACGTTGAGCAGAACAGGATGGTCAAGAATATATATGAAATGCCTATCATAAAGCACACAAGGAAACAGCTTTATAGTATCTGTCATGAGGCAATCTTTGCTTTCGCCGGGATCACAAAATCAAGTATGATAACAACATCTGATATTACACCTAGTAATTTTACCATGACGGTTTCTTTTCCTGTCATCATATGCTATCATCTGACATGCTAGCCATATTTGACAAACAACATTTCAAAATATAGTACTGCTACCTGAAGCTGATATCAAAAAAGCTCTGTATTGGCAGTGAGATGTAGAGAGTATCGTACCATGTCCAAGTGTTCTAGAGAAACACGTATGCTTACAGATGTTTTTGTTTTATTTTTAATGAACTATGCATGAAAAAATAACGGAAGAAGGGGGTGGGGAAGGTGTTTCTTTTTAACTTCATGGTTGGTTCGTCTTCTTTTTCCGGGTAAGGTAGAATCAAACCACTACCATAAATGATGATAATTGAACAAGACGCATAACTAATAGCGTCCACGATCGCGAGAATAGGATCTAGATCGGCTTCTCTTTGAATACCGAGACCGAGAATGTGAGCGTCTTTGGTCCCGATCATCATATCTACTACTGCTGTTACGTGGGCTGACGCTTCGTCGTCGACGTCGATAGTGATCATCGTCATCATCGTCGTATCTTGATGATCGCTTCCTGTCCCGGGAACGACTGCGGTATCTACTATTACCACGACTTCTGTAGCGATCATCATCACCATCATCGCGACTTCTGTCCCGTCCCCGTCGTCTTCGTCGGTCGTCATCAAAGTCACGTCGATCCCTTGGACTACGCGATCGATCGCGGTGACGATACGAGCGTCTATCATCCTCCTCTTCCTCTGCATCGTCATTGTATCTGTCGTTGCTATTGATTTATGTTATCAATTTTTTTTTATTTCTTTCATTTCATCTTTTAATTGATTTTTTTTCTCACCTCTTTCTCTCAAAGCTTGTCCCCAATTGCAGACAGCTAAACACCAAATCTAGCACAGAAATGAGAGGAAAAAAAAAGACAAAAAAGGAAACTTACCGATGATGTCGTGCTTCTTGATCATATTCACCCAACTTCTTGGTCAGATCTCTGGCAATAGGAACGGGTATGCGGGGTAACATGGTTCCTTGGAACTTTTGCTCAGTGAGTAGCATCCGACACAATTTACCAATGGTTCTATATGATATACAGACACACACACACACAGACGATACGCGTTAGTATATGTGTCGACATAAACCCCCCACAACCCCTCCTCACTTTCTCTCTCACGTTATAGATCTTTCAAAGATATCATGAAAAAGCTACGTACGATTTCTGGGGCCGAGGACCGCCGGACATGTCAATCTCTGTATCATCGTCAAGATAATATTGGAACCAATCCCAATATTGAGCAGGTGCACATACATAGCGTAAATAGAGAAATCCAACAGCACGTATGTATCTAAGCAGAATTTCGCGCTCCCTTAGTAAACTCATTCTTTTTTTTTTGCTTCTTCATATTACTTACGGTGAGTCTGGATGATCGATCAAGTTTTCGATCTGTTTAACAGTCAAGCGCAACGTCCAAAACTTGTACAAACAGCAAAAAGCAGTGGATGGCGCAGTTCCCTTAATGAAAGGAGCTAAAAAATGTATTTCAATAAGTTCTCCCTCCATAGTGAAAAGTCAAGCTGAACGATCCCTTGAACCGAATTAAACTTACACAAATTGTATACTAAGGGATGAATTGACAAGCAATAAAAGATTGAAAACCCCAGAGAATGTCAGTTTTGATAAAAGCATGCACAGTATTCCAAACGTTTCATCGACAAACCTTTCACAGGTAAACCGAGCAAGATTGAGATTTAAAAAAGTCTGGAGAGGGCGGCTTTAGTCTATATACCTTCGTTATAAATTTCATCCACGATTTCGTGGAATGTTTTCTTTTCACTAAATATTGAATAGAAAACTGTTAGTCTTTTGTCTTTTTTGAAGTTCTTTTTGTATAGATCGTAATGGAAACTTACTAGAGCGATTTAAAGTAAGGAGACGCCAAGATGTTTTGGTAAAGAATGGCATTCAAGTTCATGGTGGTTTCATTACCCCATGTCTCCAACTTGTTTGCAGCTTTTTTGCTCATTTTTTTCCTTTTTCCCTCAAAGTAATCGTGTGGTTGTGACGTGTCCTTTTTACAAAGTGGTAAAGGGGGGAAGAGACAGAAAAAAGAAAAAACACGTCTAGAGAACCGCAATTTTTGGCGGAGTAATACAAGGCCTCATGCCATGTTAGTGTAGAAAAGGTCAAGTACACACAATAACGGGAAGGGGGACGAAATTACTATTGTAGAAGAACTGGATGGATGACGACGACCACAACAATAACAAGGATGTTGGATCAGGAAAACAAAGAAATATCCTTGTGAGACTGATGAGGGACAAGTTACACATCAGTAGCAGGCGGCTGTTATAGTTTATTTAGTACTCACTACGAAAAAAGAAGAAAAGGCGATATCCTCTTGATGAATGCAGTTGCGTTGCACTGTACAATGATCATTATGCACTTCAATCATAGCAGATTTCTTTGTTGCTGCAATGCTAAGCTTCTTAGCAGGATCACAAGGGCCTTTGATGGTAGACACTGCTGTTAAAAATAAAATTACCATGTAATTATAGCCCAGCGTAAGTTTCCCTTAATAGTGTGCGCGTTCTCTGTCACTCATCCCTTCCTCCTGATAAAAAAAAAGAGTTATTCATGGTGATGGTAAAAGCTATATCGGATATCTCAAAGGAGATGTTCAAGACGTTTTCTTTTCAACCAAGGAATGCCTCCCCTTTCCACCTTTCTTTTCAAGTAGCTTTGCCTTGGTTTCACATGCATCATGTTACACAACCTTCCTTTTTGTTACATGAATAATTCTTTTTTTTCGGGGACAACCCTTTTTTTTGTTCCCTTTTAATCCTTGAAGAACAAAGAAAATAGAAAAAAAAAGGGTTCTTCATCATGTCCAGCTCGTATGAATTTGACTCTGCACCGACGCCTGAAGAAGCCGAGAAATTGGTGAAACGCATGTCGGCCGGTGCGACACTCGCAGACCAGTCCTCGGGCAACACGGCTGCGACCAAGGACGACAAAGTTCTTAAAATTGCAACCTTTTCATTGCAAAAGTACCTCAAGGTAATAACAATATATAATCTCGTGCGTTCTCTCTTTCTCTCTAATAAATTGAAAACTTTCATTGTATAATGTATATATAGGAACCCGAGTTTGCAGCAGAGTTTTTGGAACGAGGCGGGTTAGAATCCCTTTGCGACATTATTGGCAAAGTGAGCGGCAACACGCTCGCTTATGCATTGAATTCATTTACATCGCTCATGAATCATGAAGCCAGTTGGAGCTCATTGACCGAAGACTTTATTGCCGACATTGCCCATATTCTTGTCACCGAGACGTTGGTGACAATCTGTCGTCCAGCAACAGCCATTCTAATCAAGGTCGTCTGCGCCGAACGTTCGTCTGCTTTTATTATCAACCATGACGAGAATGTCACCGGCTATTCTGCTCTGCACAAGGTGCTTCAGCAAGAACCAAACTTGTTTCCAACTCTGATTCAACGGTTGCAGAGTCCAGATTATGCACTTTGCCTAAACAGTTTGACGCTGATTACATCCATGTTGAAACACGTAACCGACGATTATCGAAGCGAATTGCTTGAGAATATCGATAATAGTAATACGCGGAAGAATGTCTTGGTAAAGAAAAAAACCCCCATTACTTGTTTTCAATTATTCCTCTCAGCAGCGCGAGAGAAAGAAATATGGCTCATGCATTAAGGTTTTGTGTATATGTACAAAAATATGTAGCGACTCATGAACAATCATCCCTCGGAAGAACTCAAGGAGCAACTGTTGGAATTTCAGTCGGCGATGATCCACAATGCCGATCGCAGGAGGAAAACTCAAATTTCAATGTATAACGCGCGTCATGCCAAAATGCTCAATGACATATGGGAAGCTGCACATGTCGATAGCATCAACATTCCCGGCGCACGGAAATGGCGTAAGCTAGGATTCTCTGTAAGCTTCCTTTGTCTCTTTTCTTTTCTGTATGCTAGTATACTAATCGATCGTTATAGTCAGAAGTACCACATCGTGAATTCGGCAGAGCTGGTGTGTTTGGGCTGGAAAGAATGCATGCATTTGCCCGCCAAAACCAGGATTTGTTTGCCAAGGTGCATATATATACGTTTAATTTACTTGCAGAGACACAGAAGACTTAAAAATTCCATTTTATGTAGATGATTTTAGAACAACTTCATCGACAAGACGGGAAACGGTGTCCGTTTGCCAAGGCAAGCATTGAAATTACAGAGTTATTATGTAGTCATTGGAATATTACCACTGGATGTAAGTGAATGTTACTGTCGGGTGTATATTGTTGGGAAGGTCTTGGGTTTTTTCAGGAATCATTAACAACTTTATGGATGTGTAATAGATATCGCCGCAGAGTTCGAGCCGCTGCTACTTAATTTCGATCACGTCCATTCCACAACGCTACAATGTTTCTATCGTCTCTTTCAAGATATGGAAGCAACAACTAGTGACTTTTCAAAGGTGTCAGCACTTGTACGAAGTCAGTTGCGTGCAACGCTCAAGAGCGATGGCATCAAGGACATTTTTGAGTTTGATCGGGTCATGATGGGCACACCATACTCCGTTATTCGGGATCGACGATTAAAAGAACTCGAGTGGGCCGATGATTTACTTGGACGTGAAGCTATACGGTAAGAATGTTTTTCCAGATTTGCAATAGGTATAAATAAAAATTGTGAATCTCGCGGATAGTAGTTAATTCTTTTTATGGAACAGGAACCTCCGTAACCGCTTAAACAAGCAATCGTTCGATTTCATAAAACGACAACGCATCAACTGCTTATTACAAGGCGCATGGTTCCCATGCCCACAATCCAACCAACGCATTGTTGCCATGGCAACTGGCAACTCGCTAAGCACGAGCACATCAACAAGCGGAGCCGCAGGCAACAACACATTGATGACATCCTCTGTCGGCAAACGTTGGCGTTACTACAAGCTTAGTCCATCCAAAAAAGTACTGCTATACGGCGATTTTGCAGAAAAGTACCCGCTGGTCATGAGATCTTGCGACAAGCTTCCAAACAAGGTCGACCTGGCCAGTGTGTCCGAGATCAAACCATTCAGTCGAAAACCCTCCAATTTCAACAATACTTTGCTTGGTGAATCAACATCCAGCCTATCCTTTGCCCTGTTTTCTGATAATAATGTACCCCTAGCCGAATTTATCTGTTCGTCTTCTGCACAAGCTTCCGAGTGGAAAGACGGATTCAGTATGCTGCTTGATAAAGGTATCACGAGCAAGGACACGGCCGAGTATTTGCACTCATTGACCGAAATTGGCGTCAAGGTGAAGCTGCTTCAAATTGCAGGGGATAGAATTGAGGTGCCTCATGGCCATATAGACGTACCGCCTGTTCCTGTAGGTCTGGGATCAGGCTTCTATTATACTACAGATTAGTGCATTCGTTCCTTTTATATACACACTGCCATCACAACAACAACAACAACAACCATCATCTATCATCATCAACTGTACTTTATAATCTTGTTCTTCTCTCTTGGATACCTACTTTTACACTATCACTACAATTTTAACATCTTTTTTTGTGGCTTTTTTTTATACATGTCCTATTTTCATATCATACACAGACTTCAAGAAACATAATTAGCAAGCTTAGTCATAGCATCAATTGCGAGCAAGTACTGTTCCCAATAATGGGAATGCGAAAATTACGCAAGCCCATGCTATGTTCATAAAAGAGGGCCGACATACATCACATTACGCAAAGGAGCCAACTTGGTGAGATATGCATCCTTAATTAGCAAGGAATATAGTATCGTCGTGCAACATCCGTCATCGCGCAAAAAAAAAAGAAAAGTTCTTTTCCATGACAATCGCGATATTGAAGATTGACGTCAAAAGAAGGTTTTCAATAGTCAATCAGTCATACTTTGATAGACTACATTGCGATCATCTCAGAGAGCAACAAGATGCGGGATTTTATGTGCTCATTAATGGCCTGGACCACGGCGACAGCACTACTTTGAGACTTCATAATTACACTTACATTTAACTTTAGCGTATAACAACGCTACATACGTTTAACAATTTACTGGATATATTCCATGTGCATGAGAGAGTTTCGGGCCATTTTTGGGTGTATACTATCCGTTAAAAATCCCCTTTGTGCAACTGCAGGGCGTGGGTCTTGCTTATGCTACATCCACGATCCTGCTATCAAGAGCTATAGTGCTCGTAATTGACCGGCACACATCAATTCATAAGCATGATTTAGTAGTATACTACTTAGGCTGCTGATGCTGTTAATTCATGAAACGAATAGATTTAGACTTCCATAAAAAGATGTTTTTTTTTCTGTGATAGTAAGAGATCGTGATGGTACCACAAGTGAGGGGAGTTTCCCCGGATTAAACTGTAGGTTATACAACAGTTGCCATCGTCAAACCATTTTATCGTCATCGTTAGAAGAATGTTCTCTTTATCGTTCCGAACCTATACATTTTGTAATGGATTATATAATCCAGATCTGTGATACCTTCTCACACAAACAATTAAATACTACTAAAATCTGGTGTTCATCTATTTTCGGCTCACCTTTTTCTTAGACTTTCCAAACAAAAGAAGACAGAAACAGGCACATAGTAGCGACATGGTTCTCATCAACGGTTGTTTAACGAGTATAACACTCGCTATTGCTGCTGTGCTATCTGAAGCAATTCCTGTTAAGCAGCGATTCGAGGCTCGACAAGAGCAAGACTCATCAAATGGACTGACAGATGCTGTGACTTGGGACACTTATACGCTTCGCGTCAATGGCGAGAGAGTATTCCTTACGAGTGGCGAGTTTCACGTAAGTTTAATAGAAAAAGACTCTGTTGTCATGGATCAATGATTTATCGACAATGGTGGGATGATGGCCCATAATGCTTCAGAAAATTTACGCAAATATCGAATGTGTTTTATCCATATAGTACTACCGCCTTCCTTCGCCTGATCTGTGGAGAGACATTTTGCAAAAGTTCAAGGCGTTGGAGTTCAGTGGAGTCTCGTACTATTTCAATTGGGGATACCATTCGCCTAAAAAAGGTGTATATGACTTTACAGGCATTCGCGACGTTCAAAAAGCATTGGATCTTGCTTCTGAATACGGACTTCATGTCATTGCGCGTGCAGGTCCTTACATTAATGCCGAAGTGGTACGTATTTTCTTTCTTTATTGCTGCTATGTATGTACACGCTGCTCTTCATTTTCCGCTATGTCAACTAACGCAGGGTATTACTAGGATGCTGGTGGTTTTCCAGGATGGCTCATGAACATGTCAAGTGTTGCAAGAAAAAGTACACCAGAGAATAATGCAAATAGCAAAGAGTAAGAAAGGGTGTTATGTAATCTAGGGTGGTCAATGATGGAGGTAATTGGTGCGAGCAAGAACTCGGTTTAATCCCCCCCCTTGAATGCCATATTCAGATGGTTGAATGAAATCGACAAGTATCTCGTGCCGAACCAGGCGTCACATGGTGGTCCGATTATTTTAAATCAACTCGACAATGAGTACGCCTTAAACACCGATCCTCACTACATGCAGTTTATCAAGGACACGTTTCACGAGGATGGCATTGTTGTCCCTCTGATCCATAACGATGCAGGTCCAAGAGCTGGCTTCGTTACTGGACTGGGATCGGCAGATATCTATGGATGGGGTATTGTATCCAGCTACTTTTCTTTTGCAATGCATGGTGATTTGCTAAAGAAAATGTTATTTTGTTCCAAAGATCGATATCCTGTAGGTTTTGACTGCAGTAATCCAGAGCGATGGGCAACTGCACGTGAAGCAATTAGCTGGCGGGAATTCCACGAGCAAACCAATGACAACCAGCCTATGGCTGTTTATGAGTTTCAAGGTGGTGCGTTCGATCCATGGGGCGGTGTAGGCTACGATTCGTGCCGCCAAATGGTGAACGAGCAGTTTGCCAAAGTCTATTACAAGAACAATCTGGCTCAGGGCACCACAATTCAAAACTTGTACATGACTTATGGAGGTAAATGTCATCAGTGCGGTTATCAGAAGCTCAGATGAGTTTTTACTCAAAATCCCATTCTACATTTTGACAGGTACAAGCTGGGGAGGCTTAGCTAAGCCAAGTAAGTTGTCTTTACAGTAGTAAATGTATAATTAGGGTAAATGTTCTAAGCTAAAATCTTTATGATAGCTGTATACACTTCTTACGATTACGGAGGTAAGCATTTTTCCAAAGCTCGTAAAGTTATTCAGTACTAGCTGATTGATATATAACATCAATGATCAGCACCTATCTCTGAGCCTGGTCTCATGACACCCAAAGGATACGAAATTAAACTTCAAGGTAAACTTTTCTTGCGAGTGAAACTTTTTGTAACATAAACTTGACTAATTTCTGTACTTATTACGCTTAGGAACGTTCTTACATACTGTAACACCCTTCTTGACAACGGAGCATTTTGACGCAGAGACGACCAACGAGAATATTTTGGTAGACGGCTTATATGATATCAACACATCGACCAAGTTTTATATCGCTCAGCATCTTGAAGTCGGCTCAACAGATTTCGATGAGTGAGTAAGGATTGACTGAAGGTCAATAATTACTTGTCGCATACTTCTTAATGGAGAAGATATTGATCGTAATCGTCATATATTTCTTTCATCAACCATAGATTTACTATCAAGATGAATACGACCTTGGGCGAGTTTAATGTTCCACGAAGCAGTAAACTTGTTTTAAACGGTCGAGATGCAAAGATATTAACATCCGATTACAACTTTGATTCGCAGCACTTGGCCTACACAACGAGCGAAATATTTACCCACCAAGCAATGAAATCACACGATGTCATTCTTGTATATGCTTATGAAGGCGAGGATGGTGAATTTGCCATCAAAGTCAGAAACGATAACAAGGTGCATGTCGACATCGAGGACAGCGACAGCTCCGTCCAAACGGATATCAAAGATGGCATCCTTCAGCTCACATATCAGCATCCCAACGGTACACTTCCAATTTATATCAGTGGTGCCGGCAAAAAAGATCTCCTTGTACTTGTCTCTGGCTACTCGGATGCTACAAGATGGTGGGCACCCACTGTAGGAAAAGATCTTCAGGAACGGGTACTAATTTATGGGCCATACTTGATCCGTGGAGCGGAAATCTCCAAAAAGACCGTATCCTTCACCGGTGACATCGATAAAACGACCGAGATTCAAGTTGTTGTGCCTGATAATATTAAGTCGTTCAAATGGAACGGCAGGGACATCACATTGACCAAGAATGCTTACGGCATCTGGACAGGCACGCTGGAGTTTACGGAGCCAGAAGTAGAGTACACCGATCTTGGCAAAGCCAAGTGGAAGTATAGTCCCGGTTCTCCAGAATCTGATCCAGATTTCGACGATTCTGAGTGGGTTACTGCTGACCATCTTACCACGAACTCTATTACACCGCATGAGACATGGCCAATTCTTTATGCCGACGACTACGGTAGGATGCCCCCCTCCCTTTTTTTTTCGTTCCTCTCATTCTCGCATTAGTGATAGCAGAGTTACTGAATTACTACAACTAGGCTTCCATACTGGATGCATTTGGCTTCGCGGAACATTTAATGGTACTTCTGAGATCACTGGATTTGATCTCACAGCTATTTCGGGAGATGCCTCGGCCTGGATTGCGTGGTTGAACGGGGAGTACCTTGGTGGTTTTGACGTTGGTAAGTTGCGAGCGCACTACATTCCCCCGGGACGGGGAGGATCATGATATCAACCTATTGTTAACATTATTTTTGTCACAGGAAACCAAGCCTTCACCAATTTGAACGGTACACTTATTGATGCCGAAGGTGAAAACGTAATTTCTTTACTTCTATGGACAACTGGCCATGAGGATGACTGGGATGCAGACGATTTATTCAAGACAGCTCGTGGCTTCACGAAAGCCGAACTCCTTGGTCTCGATAATCAGACTATTTGGTCTATTGACTGGAAAATTCAAGGTATGTGATGCTTAGCAGTGGAGTCTTCAGCTATATCAATTCCAACCCATATTTTACATAAAAGATTAATACTGACACATGCTTTTTTATAATGACCAGGTAATCTCGGTGGTGAAGACTTAGCTGACCCTGTTCGCGGTCCATATAATGAGGGCGGTCTGTATGGCGAGCGCAACGGCTGGCATTTGCCCGGTTTCCCTGACAACGATTGGGAAGAAGCCTCTATTTCTGAGAGTACGAATCGCACTGGTGTCTCATGGTACCGCACTACATTCAATGTCAATATTCCGGAGGGATACGACGTCCCCATGAGTCTACGCTATATCGATGATACCAAAACCCGTTATCGCAGCATTTTTTTCTTGAACGGCTGGAACATGGGTCGCTATGCCAATGATCTCGGTCCCCAAACCCAGTACTATTTGCCAAAGGGTATTTTAAATACGAATGGCGAGAACACTCTGGCTATTGCCGTTGTTGCTATTGACGAGGCCGCTCAGGTTGGCCAAGTCATTTTGGAGCCTTACAAGATCCTGGAATCGGCCATTCCATCTGTTGCGTTGGTCGATTCTCCAACATACAAAGATCGCCAGCCATAAAATTTTATTTCCTCATTATTAGATCATTGACATCTTTAAATTTATTGCACCATAAATAAATGTTAGGACTGTTGTTAACAGATAAGGCATGCGAAGTATTACATAATATACTGGTCCGATGTTAGAACGCAATCTCAGGATAGATGTAAGGCGCGCATATAATACATTCGGTGAATATTGCAAATATCTTCAATCATAAAAGCAAATATAGCGAGATTTTTTTTTTAATTTGTCGTAGCAATAGATGTACATACTATGATGACGATGAGCAATGTAGCTCAGGATTATAGGTTCCTTGATTTGAAAAAAAGTTTCATCCAGGAACATAAGTATCTAACAAAGCCAAGCTTTCTTCTATCTATGTGCGCCTGCCATTGTCATTTTTAGCTGACTGATTTTGTGCTTACTCTATGTGTGAGATTGACACGCACATCTTCGATGAAAAAGTTGTTATGCTTCTTAATATATCGCTAATTCTACTTTTTAGGTACATCACATTCTTCATGGGAATTTTTATAACGATTCTTTGCAGTTTGCAACATCACAAATACTGAGAAATAGATTTTTACTACTTACGGGGTATTTATTGCTATAAATTCGCCTAATACGATATCTACTCATTTCCCAATATAATGTGGTACAGTAATTAGCTTGAACAACCCTTGGTATTACCTTCTCCACAAGTTCTCATGATTTAAATCGCTTATATAATACCAATTTTTGACTTCATTTAAATACCATGTCATGAAGGAAAGGGCCAAAGTAAGGTCACTTTTCACTGGCGTGATAACAGCAAGAACAGCAGCGTTTTACACTTTGAATGGTTTTTGTCAAAGGTGTGCTGACGAGTATATCGTTAGCCATAGCAGCAGTAGCATCAGTAGCAGCACGTCCTGCACAATTAAAGTTTGAAAAACGGCAAGAAGATCAACAAGGTATCGACGATACCTCAGATAATGGCTTAACGGAAAGGGTCACTTGGGACAGCTATACATTGAAACTTGATGGCGAAAGGGTGTTTCTTTTCAGTGGCGAATTCCATGTAAGCTAAAGAAAAAGAGAGCAAGCAGATGGTGTTTCTCTAGCCACCCTCGCATTCTGCAATACGGCAGTGAATTTTTTACTAACTGTTTTGATAATTTTTTATGAAGTACTTTCGGCTCCCTTCTCCTGACCTCTGGACCGATATTTTACAGAAGTTCAGGGCCCTTGATTACAACGGCGTGTCTTTTTATTTCAATTGGGGCTACCATTCTCCAAAGAAAGGAGTATACAACTTTGATGGTGTACGCGATGTACAAAAGGCTTTTGATGCTGCAGAGGAAGCGGATCTTTACGTGATCTCTCGGGCTGGCCCGTATATAAATGCCGAAACTGTACGTATTGATGTTGCTATTCCCTTTGTTCTGCATACAGACAGATGACCGCATGACAGCACTGCTTATACTTCGTGCTACGACTACTATAGGACTGTGGCGGGTTTCCGAGCTGGCTTATGGACATGAGAAGCCCTGCACGATACAGCAATGAAGAATACAATGCAAATCGGAAAGAGTAAGATGAAGTTGCTTTATAAACAATACACAGCGTACTATAGATTCAGACCGATAACACTTGTTTTTTGAATACTATGTAACTTAAAATGTCAGATGGCTTACGGAAATCAATAAATTCCTCGTGCCAAATCAAATCACCAACAAGAAAGGTGGCCCAATAATCTTAAATCAGTTAGAAAACGAGTATACTGGACATGATGCCGAATACATGGAAGCGATCAAACAAAAGTTCTTGGCAGATGGTATTGAAGTGCCTTCAATCTTCAACGACAAAGGTATGAATAACTATTTTGTCAATGGAACCGGCGCACCCGACATATACGGCTTCGACAAATACCCGGCTGGCTTCGATTGCAGCAATCCTAAAAAATGGGCGACGAATGCAAGTACCGAGTATATGGATTACTACGCCATTACAAATCCAGAACAGCCATCAGCTCTCTGGGAATTTCAGGGCGGCGCATTTGATCCATGGAACGGCCCAGGTTATTCAGCGGTTAGTACACGGAAAGACAGACTTTAGAGATGCTATTTGATTCGACAAGCAAGATACTGACTAGGTATGATACTGTAAAAGTGTCGCCAAATGGTGAACGAACAGTATGCCAAGATTTATTACAAGAGCAATTATGGACAAGGTGTGCGAATCCAGAACCATTATATGACATATGGAGGTAAAGCCGATAATGTTTGTGAAAGGCTAATGTTACAGGAGCCAAATATTAACCATTCATTATCATTTTAAAGGCATTTCTTGGGGAGGCTTGGCAACACCTTGTAAGTTTGTAGTAATGTCACATGCCTTGGTTATTCATCACTATGCTAATACTTTTAATATTGTTTTAGCTGTCTATACGTCTTACGATTATGGAGGTGAATATATAAAGGAAACCCCCTCTTTAACGGATTTATATTAAACTTCTATACCTAGCTCCTATTAGCGAGCCTGGTCTAATGACAACTAAGGCGTATGAGGTCAAACTACAAGGTGAAACAATGCGATTATCAAATGTTACGTCGTAAAATCTAGAGTACTGATATCAAACTTTTTTTACGATTGTATCGTAGCCACTTTTCTGCATACGGTGAAACCGTTCTTAGCGACAGAGTACTTTGAACCAAAAATTGACAATAGCGATAACATTCTCGTACTGGGTCGTGCTTCTATCGAAGCACCTACCAAATTCTACGTTGCACATCATTTGAATACGCCATCCGATAACTTAGATGAGTAAGTTTCGGCCGCTTTCTTTAATGTGAATACACACAAATACATAGATAAGATATTGATGGCATGTGACATACATTATCGAATAGGTTCCATGTCACTGTGAATACAACCGATGGTTTTTTCAACATACCTAAGAGCAGCAAACTAGTTCTCAATGGCCGTGACGCTAAAGTCCTCGTTGCCGACTATGACTTTGAGTCGCAACATTTGGTTTATTCAACCAGCGAAATCTTTACTCATCAAGATGTGGGCTCGTACGATGTCATTGTTGTCTACGCCTATGAAAAAGAAGAAGGCGAATTTGTCATTAAGACGGGCGGCAAGAGGAATGTCAAGGTCGAGACCAATGACTCAGTGACATCCGAATTTTCCGATGGCGTTTTGCAGCTTACTTACACCCATCCCAATGGTACTACTCCTGTATACATTTCAGGTGCAGGAAAGAAGAACAAGGACTTGCTTGTCCTCATCTCTGGATACGAAACTGCATTGCTATGGTGGGCACCTGTCATTGACAAGAAGAAGGACACGCGCGTTTTGATCAATGGCCCGTATCTCGTTCGCAGTGCCTATGTCTCTCGCTCATCAGTGGCATTCACCGGTGATATTGACCAGACAACTGATATCCAAGTGATTCTTCCGCGTGCTATCACATCAATTACTTGGAATGGCAAAAAGGTCAAGCTTCATAAAGGGGACCATAGTATCTGGACTGGCACCTTGAAATTTACAGAGCCCGAAGTGAAGTATACGGATTTGACCAAGGCCAAGTGGAAGTACAGCCCTGGTTCCCCTGAGACCGACTCTGATTTCGATGATTCAGAGTGGACTACTGCGGATCGACTCACTACAAACTCTGTCACAACTTCTGACACACTGCCAATCTTATATGCAGATGATTATGGTAATTTGTGGAAAAGCAGATTTTAGAGTTTGTTTTACGGATACTTTAACAGCGATTATGTAATTTTCTAGGCTACCATACGGGAAGCATTTGGTTCCGTGGAACCTTCAACGGATCTTCAGAAATTACAGGATTTAACCTTACTTGCATATCTGGCGCAGCCTCTGCTTGGATGGTGTGGTTAAACGGCGAGTACCTGGGAGGATTTGATGTTGGTAGTCAAGAATTTAGGAACTTGGACATCAATATCAAGGGCAAGAATGTCATCTCGGCTCTCCTGTGGACTACGGGACACGAGGAAGATGGCGGTTCAAACGATGCTTACAAAACGGCTCGTGGTTTTACATCTGCTAAGCTTCTGGGTCTCAATGATGACCAGAACCAGACAGCTTCCATTGACTGGAAAATACAAGGTATAGTTATATTATGTGCTACATGGGATATGGTATTTTCATTGCAACATCACGCACTTGATGCAATTCACTAATGTATCTCATACGCATGCATTATTCTAGGTAACCTTGGAGGGGAGGATCTAGCGGACCCAGTGCGTGGTGCGTACAACGAAGGCGGATTATACGGGGAACGTTATGGCTGGCATCTACCGGGCTTTCCCGACAGCAAGTGGGAAGATGCGTCTATTCCAGAAGAGAAGAGTCGGACTGGTGTCTCTTGGTACCGCACAACATTTGATGTGGATATTCCTGAAGGTTATGATGTCCCTATGAGCCTCCGCTATGTTGACGAAACCAAGACACGCTATCGTTCATTGCTTTTCTTGAACGGCTGGCAACTTGGACGCTATGCTAATGATCTCGGTCCACAGACTCAATTCTACCTTCCCCGCGGCATCCTGAATACTAGTGGCTTGAATACGCTTGCAGTGGCAGTGATTCCAATAGATGAGGCTGCACAGATAGGAAAGCTTATTCTGGAGCCTTATAAAGTCCTCCAGTCAGCAATTCCATCGGTCGATTCAGTCGAGTCTCCATCGTACCAAGATCGCCAGTAGCAGGATTGATTGATAGTTCTACAAAGCTTCATAACTTTATTCATTATAGTTTCAAAGTACTTCATAACTATTATATTATTGGCAGTTTAAAGTGAATAATAATTGCTTTAAAAACTCAGTATATGATTACGTGGCCATAGGAAACTACCTTTTATTTACAAGAAACTTAGTTATATAAGTACCATTTCGATGGAATGGTGTCATCCCGCCTGGTCCTTCAACCAATAAAACCAAAAGCAGTACACGATCTCACAAAAAAGGCATATGACATTATTCCAGAGATCGTATACCGATTTGTACAACTGCAAACCAGCTAAGCGGATCTCACGAATATCTAGTAATTTTTGCTAACGAAGCTGTAAAACTCTCAAGGGTTTTGGATTACTTAATGACTAACGAGAAACAGCTCATAAACAATTTTGGAGTTTTCGGAAAATAATTGTCTGGTGCCACACATAGCCTGGGAAGTTGCTGAATTGCAAGGAAGGGAAAGAAGCTCTTCATTCAGATCCCACCGTAGAACTTCTGACCTTACTGTGATTCACAGCAGTATGTATGAATGTAAATTGTGGGATATTTTGCTTATATAACTGAAAGCCTGTCATACATACCGTCCGAAGAAAGACCATTATAAAAAAATTGCTTTAAATTGTTGCATTTGTTGGGACTTTTTCAACCACCTAAAAATCCGGATGCTACTCAAAGGCGCTCTGACGAGCATAATGCTCGCCACGGCAGTGGTGATTTCTGCAGCTGTACCAATGGTGCAGAGATTAGAACACCGGCAACAAGATGAAGGATTTCAAAATAACGGCTTAACGGAGGCTGTTACCTGGGACACTCATACGCTTCAAGTTAACGGCGAAAGGGTGTTTCTTTACAGTGGCGAGTTTCATGTAAAAAACACTACATTTGATTGATTGTATATATGATATATTGCCAAAAATATTAACGCGTCTTGTATAATTGTTCTCTGATAAATAGTACTTTCGCCTTCCTTCACCTGATCTTTGGAAAGATGTTCTGCAAAAGCTCAAGGCATTGGAGTTCAACGGGGTCTCTTTCTACTTTGACTGGGGCTATCACTCAGCCCAAAAAGGTGTCTATGACTTTAACGGTATCCGTGATGTTCAGAGGGCATTCGATTATGCTACCGAATTGGGACTTCATATTGTGACACGACCGGGCCCTTATATCAATGCTGAAGTGGTCAGTATCATCAATTCATATATGCTTCTAACACTACCCGTGTATCTTTAAAATACCCAGCGCGCAATATCCTAAAAATAAGCGTTTCTCAGGACTGCGGTGGTTATCCTGGTTGGTTTATAAGGGAACCCGGTGCCACACGTAAAAGGGACCCGAATAACGACAAGAACTACTTGGAGTAAGATTTCGTTTTATCACATGTTCTGATTGACCAATTATGTGCTAATTTGAGTATCATTCTTCCATCGCAGGTGGCTTGATGCAATTGACAAGCATATCGTACGAAATCAGGTTACACATGGTGGTCGAGTCATCTTAAATCAAATCGACAACGAGTATGCAGTCAATACTGACCCGCGCTATATGCAAATGATCAAAGACAAATTCCACGAGGATGGCATCGTTGTGCCATTAATCCACAACGATCCTGGTTTAAGGTCCGGATTCGTGAGGGGTGAAGGCGCTCCAGACATTTATGGGTGGGACATTTATCCACTTGGTTTCGACTGCAGCCAGCCAGATAAATGGGAGACCGATAGAAATCAGATCAGTTACAGAGAGTACCATCGACGTACAAATGATGAACAACCTATGGCTGTCTACGAATTCCAAGGAGGTGCTTTCGATCGTTGGGGTGGTACAGGCTATGCAGAATGCAGAAAGCTTCTTAATGAGCAGTACGCCAAGGTTTACTACAAAAACAACTTTGCGCAGGGCGTAACAATTCACAATTTATATATGACTTACGGTGGCATTTCATGGGGAAATCTTGCCGAGCCAGGTACGTAAAGGTTCTTTTTCATACGAGCTTATGATTTTCTGTGTAATAACCCTCCGTAATGCTTCCTATACCAATAACAATAAAAAACAGGCGTTTATAGCTCTTACGATTATGCTGCACCCATCAGCGAATCTGGTATTTTGACTGCCAAGGCCTACGAAAATAAGCTTCAAGGTAAAGCTACGACTTGTGAATTATTCAGGCACAGCCGTATACTGATTGTTATTACCAACGTGATGTTACAGGAGGATTCATAAATACTGTCAAGCCCTTCTATACAACCGAGTATTTTGAGTCACAAACAGACAACGACAATCTTATAGTCGACGGTTTAGCGGATGTCAATACAGATACCAAATTTTACATTGCTCAGCATCTTGATATTGGCTCTAAAGATTTAGACGAGTGAGTGAGATTGAAAACCATGACGGTGGGATGATTGCTTCATACACACACTTACAGGACGCTCATTCTATACCATTTAATTGGATAACAGGTTTACCATTACCGTGAACACCACGAAGGGCGCACTTACTATTCCTCGAAGCAGCAAGCTTGTTTTGAACGGTCGCGATGCCAAGATTTTGGTTACGAATTACGATTTTGGTTCGCAACATTTGGTTTACACAACAAGTGAAATCTTCACTCATCAGGACCTAGACTCCCGTGATGTCATTGTGGTTTATGCCTATGAAGATGAAGACGGTGAATTTGCAATCAGCGTAGACAATGAAGATTTCAAAGTTGAAGCTGACAGTTCAGTTACTTCGGACGTCTCTGACGGCATTTTGCAGCTTACCTACAAGCATCCAAATGGCACCACTCCAGTTCATATTTCAGGAACAGAAAAGGACTTGCTTGTGTTGATTTCTGGTTATCAAGCTGCTACGAGATGGTGGGCTCCTCATATTGATGAACATACGCGTGTCTTTATTCATGGACCTTATCTCGTGCGCTCTGCTTCTGCTTCACACCATTCGTCGGTGGCATTCACTGGAGATATCGATGAAACAACAGACATTCAAGTGGTCCTTCCCGACAAGATCAACTCCATCACCTGGAATGGTAAGAAGGTCAAACTGGAGGAGGGCCAAAATGGTATCTGGACCGGAACGTTGCAGTTTGACGAACCAGATGTCAAGTACACTGATCTTACCCAGGCCAGATGGAAGTACAGCCCTGCGTCCCCAGAGACAGAACCTGACTTTGATGATTCGGATTGGTTGACCGCGAATAACCTTACTACTGTATCTATCACTCCGCATGACACATGGCCGGTCCTCTATGCAGATGAATATGGTAAGAAGAATACCACCAGCTGAACTGGAATACTTTTTCACTTCCTTTGAAAAATAATTTTTCCTAAATATGCATAAACTATAATCATAGGCTACCACACTGGTAATATTTGGTTCCGTGGCACTTTTAATGGATCTTCGGAAATCACTGGCTTCAATATTACTAGTCACTTTGGTCTTGCTTCTGCTTGGGTGGTGTGGTTCAATGGCAAATATCTTGGAGGTTGGGGTGCGGATGAAACGGGCAATTTAGGCTACGAGGATTTGAATAACACTCTACTCAAGTCTGAGGGTGAAAATGTCATTTCTGTCTTATTTTGGACTACTGGTCACGGTGGCGATTGGAACGCAGACGGTTGGCATGTAAGCAAAAGCAAAGATAATGAGAATATAATGTTTGCCTATTGTTATTGATAACGATTGCTTATGCGTATAGACAGATGCGCGAGGTCTTACGAAAGCAGAACTTCTTGGAGTTAGCAACCAGACCATTTGGTCAATTGATTGGAAAATCCAAGGTATGTCTTATAACGTAGAATCCTTTTGATGATAACATTAGTTTATACTGATACATGATAAACGCACATCATTTATTTCTTAGGCAACCTTGGAGGAGAAAATATCTTCGATACCGTTCGTGGTCCTTATAATGAAGTATGTAATAACATGCCTTACAATAACGGTCGGAAGGTTAACAAAAAAATTTAATCTGTACAATAGGGTGGCCTATATGGCGAACGTATGGGCTGGCATTTACCGGGCTTCCGCGATAACGATTGGGAGACCGTATCCTTGCCAGAGTCTACCAATCGCACGGGCTTTTCATGGTACCGTACATCATTTGATGTCAAAATCCCCAATGGATACGACGTTCCTATGAGCGTCCGAATTGATGACGACACTGACTCCCGCTATCGTGCTGTCATTTTCTGCAATGGCTGGCAACTTGGAAAGTTTGCGCATGATATCGGCCCACAGACCCAATTTTATCTTCCGCGCGGCATCCTCAATGTGAATGGCAAAAATACATTGGCTATTGGAACCGTTGCCATTGACGAGGGAGCACAACTCGGCAAAGTTACTCTTGAGCCTTATGGTGTACTTCAATCTGCACTTCCGCAAGTCGATATGGTTGATTCTCCATCATATAACGACCTCAGGAAGAGAAAGTAAAGCCACTATTAAACAAGCGATATACAGTAATCCTTGATGGAAATGATAAGTCAATTTGTAAAAGAATCTACGCAATCAGTACACTAAACTTTACTGCAATAAGAAGATACTATCCTGTGAAAATGCCATTGAATTTAGTAATATAATAAATTGTTCATGCTGCAAGCATTGAAGATATAATTCTTTTTATAAAAGAGCTGACGAAATTCGAAAGTATTACGCTATTCACGAGGCTTTCGTATCAACTTGGATTGGGTCAGGAGATATGTTATCATACCTCGTACCAACATCCCTCAAGTAACAATGCTACGCATTATTGACCTTAACCACCTATTATGTTCAAAGCTGTTCTAAACGCTTTCCCAGAAGTGACTTGATCGTCCAATCTAAGAACTCCATCAACCCATCCCTTTTTGCATACGTAATCATTCGTTTCCACCACCGCTGTCGAAATTCATTATATCCTAATTTCTATGGCAGGAATCAAACGATTAATTACTGGAATATATACATCATCAAAAGTATTTACATTGTGCTTTCCATCTGTTATATAACAATTTACTATGTAACTAATTCTCAAATTCTTCCAATGAACGCCCCTTTGTCTCGGGAATCCATGTGGTAAAGAGAATACAAATAAGCATGATCACACCGAAAATGATGATTACGCCTGGTAAAAAGCTTCTTTCACCTTCAGGGCCACCGACATCAGCAAGTGCATTGAATGCAAATGTGGCAATAATAGCACCAAGTTTGCTAAGCATATCATCCGTTAGTAGCCATTAGGATATTTATAAGCACAGTAGTTGTTCCTTCCAACCGTATTTACCCGGAAGCGGAAGCGATTCCGTGTGCCTTGGCTCGATGACGTGTTGGAAATACTTCAGCTGGAAGAACAAACGTTGTTGTATTGGGTCCAAAATTGAAGAAGAACTGTTTATGGTTATAGCAAAGTGGTAAAAGTGGGAATTCAGTTAGTTCCGGCATTGCGCATGAAAGAGTGCTAAATTTACCTGAGCAATTGCAAAAAGTACGATAAAGCCAGCGACGGATGCTGCTTGTAACGGATGCCAGACAGCGCCGAGAATGATAAAAATTACGCCAACTGCGATAAAACCCATATACTGAATTGGCTTTCTTCCCATTTTTTCGATTAACAAAACGGTTGCAATATAGCCGGGGAAAGCACCAAGCGCTGACAGGATAAGGTTACCAATGGCCTGTTTAAACAGAGTATTCCATGGAGGCTCATTTTCGGGTGCGAATCCCATGGAGCTTAAAATCAAAGCTTGATTGAGATTTGTACCGTAGAATGCTTTTACAGAAACAGCAAATAACGTTAGCTAATCGATATTTTGTATCAATCTGTTTACTACGTTATTTAAAGATGTGTGCTGTAAAATTACCTATATCCATGAAGAACCTGCGAACATTGGATGTTACAATAAGTTTTTAATAATTTACTTGGTCAAATGCTTTCCAAAAACGCAATGTAACGTACCAGCACAAGCTGACACCGAGCAACACTTTAAGATTTCTCCATTTTCTAAAGTACTACGGGAATACAGATAGTTGTGAGCGAGTAAACACACTGTATAACTCATAATGCGTTACAATCATCTAGCTTACATGGAGGAAATCTTGAAAATTTTCATGACGAATTTGCCTCTGTGATTTCCTTTGCGTAGCAGCTTCGAGGTCCTGCGAAGTCATGGTTTTTGCTGAGGAAATGCTATTGGCTCGATTATCTTGAGGGACCAGTGTTGGCGAGTCCATGCCGGATTGTTTCATGTTGCTATTGCTTCTGGTACTGCTGCCTGGATGGTGTAGCTCGACTTCTCCTGCTGCAAGCTGATCCATTTGTATATCCTCATACGGATGTGAGTATTTGTCTCTACTCTCAGAATCCACTTGTTGTTGCTGTTGATCTTGGCGTGTCTGGTTCCTCCTTTGTCTAGATGACGGAAATGATTCCAAAGCTGATTTGGCACCCGATGTGTCGTTTTGGACGTTCGCTGCGTATCGAGGTGACTCTGGTAAAGTAAAGCGGCTGTATACTGTTGCGATCGCAGGTACAGCGCCAAGGCCAATGCAAATCCGCCACACATAATCTAGGTTGTCTATATTTCCTTCGATAGCTGACTTGAATGCAGCAAGCACGACCATGGTCACTAACGGAGCCACAATCTGGCCAACTCCTTGCATTGAAAAAATCATGGCAACCATTTGACCTCGTGTGTTGACAGTAGACCATTCACTAAGACACATTCGTATCAGCTCATAAAGATTTACTTGTAAAAAGTTCTGTTGTTGAAGACCAGATTTCGAATAAATTTGCGAGCAACTCACGCTGCAACTGTACTCGACATTGGGTAATCGCCTGTCGTGTTTTATCAAAGGATTATGGTGTTGGCCTCAACGTTCTTTGGAAGATTTTGCCACAGCAGCAAACTTACCTCCGATACCAAAGCCAAGGACGAATCGCCAAAATCCAAGAAAGCCAACTGCACCAACACCTTCAACAGCGGATCCTGCTGTGGCACAGTTGATGGTGGCAATAATAATGACCAGTAGTTCCAAACCATAAATGGCTTTCCGACCAAATGCTAATATCATTCGAGGGGTAAGAGAACTGTCACGCAGAAAGAAAGCGAATGTTCTTGTCAAGTAAATTGGGTAGCTAGAGATATCTTACCATCTCCAAGGAAACCAAACGTTAACTGGCCGCAGAGCTGACCGAATGAAACCATGCCTTTGAAAGGACCTTGTATTCCGCTGGGCATCTATATGAAGGGTGGTTGCCATCGCTGTCAGCATACGAACTTATGTTACGCGAAAGAAAAGGGGTGACAAGAAAAGTTTTTTAACCTTGTTGTCACTATCTTTATAATAGATATAACCAAGCATGGGCGTAATAAGATTGATAATGAAAATGTCATAACTATTTACAAAAATGTCGTCAGCGAGATTCATCTATGATATGCATTTTTTCGGTAGACTAAACAATGCTTACGCGTCAGTAAAGAACCCAGCGCTACTGATTACAAGTGTCCGCACTTGACGCCATGTAAATCGCTTTGAGGTATCATCAAGTTCTTGTAAAGGTGCCGGTGGCTGTGCCGTTGCAGCACTGCGTCGAGTATCGGCTTGAAAAGCGGTATCTTCCGTCTAATGAGGGGTCCACGTAATTTGTTAGAATCGCTCTACCAAGTTTAGAAAGCGCCTTTTTTGACATCTTATCTTACCATATTGTTGTGTTCAATGTGTGCAAAAGTCTATTGTTAGAAAACTTAAAAAGAACCTAAAAAGGAAGAATTTCTGGATCCAAAGGATTACGATGAATGATGGTCTATTCCATCATCTACCTTTTAGAACAAAAAAAAAGTAGTTTTGCATGAAAAACGTGCTGTACCAATCATGGAAACATGTGCTGGGTGGGAAACTTTCGGAGTGGCCGCGTAATCACTGCGAAGCATTTGTCATTGACCTTCCGATTTTTATTCGTTCTCTTTTCTCTTGTTTCAAGCGTTTGATTCTCAGTGAATTGGGACCCAAGCTGCGCAATGAGCACTTTCCTTCGTCCTATTCCCTTCATATTTTAAAAAATCAAACAAACGCCGTCTAATGCGTATATAAAGAGATGCTACGTCTATTACGTGTCAGCTTAGGCCATCATTCTTCTTACTTGCCGAAGCCAACAACACAGTGCGCGACGGCAGCTCGGTCATTAGCTATCAGAATGCTCTCCACACTACCAGCAACAACAACGGATGTCAACGATATGAATCCGCTTCAGCTAAGCCAGCTCCTCCAAAAGCAGCACAAGGACGATCCTTTTCGAAAATCTCTCAAAGTAATTGATGCACGCGAACGACACGAAATCGAAAAGTTTGGTAGAATTGAGGGTGCACGCAATATTCCCTTTGGCGTGTTCCAGCGCGATCTTGAAACCTATTCGGCGGCATTGGATGACTTGGACAAGGACACAACGGTAATGCTCATAACCTTATCCAACATTTCCCCCTGTACTATATTGACCACAGATTAATTATTTGATGTTATGATAGGTGGTGATTCATTGCATGTCTGGTCGCAGAAGTCTGGAAGTAGCGAAGCATGCGGCTAACATGGGTTTTAAAGACGTCTACAATCTCGTTGGCGGATTCAAGCAATGGAGTGGTGAAAACTTGCCCGTGCTTCAATACGACAATAACCATTCGCCTTGGGTCCATACGGTCTTTGAAAAGGAAACAGAGACAGCTCAGTATATTGTTACGGATGTAGGTTAGTGCTGCATGTTTGTTTGCTGCTCCATTATTTATCACGCCCAAAACACTTATGTTGCGAAATGATTCCCCGCTCCTTTATTATTTGCAGAATCCAAGGAGGCATACATCATTGATCCCGTCTTGGATTATGACCCATTTTCTGCTACAGTGCGCCCTACTATGGCCAAGAAGATTCTAGAATTCATTACCAAACACAACCTGAGTGTGACCAAAATCATTGACACCCACGTTCATGCAGTAAGTAAAGGCTTTTACTGTCCGCTTAGTTTCCCCCTGCATACGTACTTATCTTATGAGCTTTTTCCTAAAAAGGATCACTTGACAGCCGCTCACTATTTGAAGGATCTGCTACCATCAAAGGTAATATTATATTGCGGTCGGCTATTAGGAATGTTGTTTTAAAGCAACAGGCTAATATACTCGTGGTTTGTTGTTGTAGCCCGAGTTCTGGATGGGAAGTAACGTGACCAAGGTCCAAGAAGTGTTTAGTCAAAAATATAACCTTCCGGGTTCGCAGCTTAGCGCCACCGGCCAACAATTTGACAAGTTGATCAACGAAGGTGACACATGGATCCTTGGCGAGAACATTCAGTGTTCCGTTTTAAGCACACCAGGACACACACCTGCTTGTATGTCTTACCGAATCGGCGATGCTGCATTTGTAGGCGATACGTTATTTATGGTAAGCTAAATTGACTGTTGTTTTGTTGTTTGTTGGGTTTATCTGTCGTGCTGGATATTTCACAATGGAAGACGGTCTATTCACTGCTATTGTTGCTTTTAATTTTATTAGCCGGACATTGGTACAGCACGATGCGATTTCCCTGGTGGTAGCGCCGAACAAATGTACGACAGTGTTCAAAAGATGTACAAAGCATGGCCAAATGATACACGAATCTATGTTGGTCACGACTACCCACCCGCGAATTCAGACAGATCGGTAAGTTTCTGTTTCTTTGTTTTCCGAATTAAAGGTTACGCGACAGAACTATTAACCTTAAGATGATCGTGATACTCGATGGTAGTACGAAGTCGTAACAACCCTCGGAGCGCATAAAGAAGCTAACCAAATGGTTCACGAGGGCATTTCAAAGAACCAGTATATTGACCTTCGCAAGAAGCGTGATTCACAACTCAGAGCCCCACGATTTATTCATCCTGCCCTCCAAGTAAATACAATCTATGGTTCTCTTTTGCTACTGCTTGCTGATTTTCCTACAATTTTTCTTTTAATTTTCTTAGACCAACCTACGCGGTGGCCATCTTCCTGCTGAAGAAAAGTCAACTGATGGCGACGCATCCGCTGGACGGTTCTTCAAGATACCAGTGCGTTGGCAGGAGTAAAAAAATTGGTAGTACACCATGCTTCTTTACCACAAGCTCCTAATAAACAGTACACAATGAGACCTTAATTTTACACCATCCTTATATATCCACATGATATACTCGTTGCCATAAAGTCGCTTGAAAGATACTGCGCGTTAATTGGCTCATAATGCTCAATGGGAGAATGAGTAAAGGCATAACAAACAAGCTCTTGCACTTGAAAGAAGAATGAAGAAACATGAAGACCAATAACCCAATGTTGTATATAAAGGATGGTAGCTGAACAACTGGTCCGTTACGCTACGTTCGCTCGCGACATATTCGATAATCGACCTCCACTTCTCGTCGCTCTCATTAACCTTTTCTATATTTTTCCTTGGACTCTCTGCTGTACGTACAATGAATTTTGCATACGAGTTTGATCTCCCTGGTTTTCCAGAGGAGGCTGTCGATCGCGCCATGCAGCGAAGATTGGCGAGAGAACGGCATCATAGCCGTTTGCATTGTAAGTTCGATAGTTTTTGCTCTCCCTATCATCGACTCCTATAAACAATATATCTTATCGATCTCTTAAAATCTGTTGATAGACGTATATCGTGCCTTTCTTCGGGCCAACAGGAGTCGCTACCGAAGTAATCGACATGATCAAGTTTTTCCATGCCTTTACCCACAAGACTTAATGAGGCCAGAGCCGCCTCTCGAGTGGCGCGTTTTACCTGGTATAGTTGACGTTCAAGCGGATCCCGGCGAAGAAGACAGCGGTCGACGAGGTTGGAAGGACATACTGTGTGACCCACAAACATATTGTTGGGCACTAGCACTTGGTGTGTTCGTCTACTGGAGCATCAAAAAGACAGCAAAAACTGGATAGAGTGGGCTGTAATTTGTATCAATGATAATAAAAAAAAGTCGCATTGTGCGAGTTTTTGGACATTTGAAAAAGATGGCAGAGAAAGGGAAAGAGATAAGAGTGTTCTGTTGCATGGCAACCACTTCAATATCCCCATACCCACATGACGTGACGTCAGCTTGAATTATCCGCTGGCGGGGGTGTTGTGTGGTGTTGAAATCAGTGGGACGATTTTTTTTTTCAAGAGGAAGAAAAAACACTAGCAAAACTCCATCTCTCCCCTCTCTCTCACACACACATTCACACTTGACATCATGTTCGCCCTTCGTCGTGCTGCTGTTGCCGCCGCTCCCATTGCCGTGCGCTCGTCTGTCCGTCCCTTCTCCGTCTTGGGTGCCCGTCTTTGTAATTATCAAACTTTTTTGTTTTATATCTACATTGTCGCGTTGCTTTTGTTGTGCTTTTTCGTAGATTTTGTCAATTGAACGAAACTAGACCGGCCAGATTATTTCCCCTCCCCATTTCATTGTTTTAAGAAAAACACCAACGATTTGCGTCTCTCGTCTTTTACATTGCATCTACGAAACGCACCATGAAGCAAACGACAAAAAAAGCGTTGATTGATCAAGACTCTAATTATTATGGTTATGACACTAAAATTAGCTGGTGCCGTTTCGGCTGAAAGCATCGAGAAGAACCTTGGTCCCGGTGGTGCTCCTGGTACCGTCCCCACTGATCTCGAACAGGCCACTGGTTTGGAGCGTCAGGAATTGTTGGCCAAGTTGGAGGGCAAGGAACTTTTCGATATGGAGCCATTGAACATGACCCACCTTGGTACTGTCAAGAACCCCATCGTCGTCCAATCGCACGACCCCATCCGTTTCGTTGGCTGCACTGGTAATGTGTCTCACTTTTTTAGCAGTACTTAAAAGTTGGATTCGAGACGAGAGAAGGATGATATGTCGGATAAAAAACAAGAGGGAGAGAAAACGTGTATCAATGGAACTGGACATATCTGAACAATTGGATTGATGGTACGATGATTAGGCTACCCTGCCGAGTCCCACGACGCCATCTGGATCAACTTGGACAAGTCCCACGAGCACGACCGTTGCCCTGAGTGCGGCTCCGTCTACAAGATGGACTTTGTCGGTTCTGAAGACGACCACCACCACTAAATTTGCATTAAACGAAACAACTGTTTCTGACTTGAACAAAAGAAAAAAAGAATCATCTGCTTAAATATACATGTATACAACAACAATGACCAAACCGTTTTCTTTTCCGTTTCTCATATTCGTAAAAAAGCGAGCCCCAAGGAAACCTTTCTCCGCGTCATCAAAACTACACTTTAGATTTCTGTGCTAATAAAGTTCCTTGTGTGCATAGTTTGTCTATATTTGATACTATTCGATGGATATTTGTGTGGTAATAACAAGCGACTACATACTGCAAGCATATGGAATTATGGGTAGGAGGTCGCATAAATATCGTAAACTATCTATCACGAATTTGCTATACAATAAGCAACTGTTTACTGCTTTATCGACATTCTACTAGCGGTCCTTCCTCGCTTCGCTCCGTGTCATTCAACGGAAACGTGTCGCAAGGGGGTTCCCCAATCCCCTCGTAGCGAGCCCATTCAAGGCTTATTCAGATGCTTGGGAAACTTTGGATTTGAATCTATTGCTTGTGGCACTGATGCGATAACTTGTTTTTGCAAATCGAGTCCTTATCTCAATTTTCGTCGCATAGAAAGTTTATTAAAATATCGCTGTAGCTTCTGAAAACTTCGAAACCACATCATTTATGCCGCCAACTAAGAGAATAATAGTAGTATGGACTTCTGATTGACATTTGTTCAACTGTAAAAGAAATGAGTTGCTATAATGACAATGTTGAGCTTATGTCCTATACGCAAGTCAGTGTCTAGGTTTATCGTTACAGCAAAATTGAATCCTATTAGTTTTATATTCATCAATTGAATCATATTTGAATGTATGTCAGTATACGCATACGCGATGCCCATATGTTATCGGATAAAAAAAAGTAGCAAATAGATGAAAATAACTACATTACATTGACGGTGGTAATAAGAATGAAAATATGATTGGTATATTTCGATAAGCGCATGATAGATAAATGTAAGAAATGCAATATGCAGGAAGTCATGTAGTATAGCCGTTCAGTACTGTAGGACTTCTTGCTTCATGATGAACAGCACACTGTAGGAAAAAAAACCTTAATATACCTTAAAAAACCTGAATAAACCTGAATTTAGTTCAACCAGGACCACCGTTGTTGTACCAAATGAAACTTCCGACACACCTGACCACATTTTTTTTTTCATCTCATCAATATGTCAACACCTTCTCTATCACGGAAGAATAATTTCATGCCGCCTGCGGTTGACCATTAACACCAACAGCTGGCAGGGTAACAATCGCGTTCAGCAGTCCAGGCTTATACGTATTGGTGAAGTTATGGTGTAATTTCAGCATTATGATGTAGGCGCTGCCAGATTATTTGCCTTGGTGAAAGTATATAACGCTGAAAAGCCTAATGACAGTGGCACGTGGCTGTATCGCACGATGGAGTTGTTAATGTAAAGCATATCAAACAGCTGGTGTGCAGTATTGAAAGTACATCGAAGCGGCACTACGTTTGCAGGTCACAAACGAGACAACGAACTTCTTGGTGAACTGCGGTGTATATGGTGATTTCCATTTTAGGCAGTATCAAAACAAAGTTAATCCTTTTCTCCTCATTTGTTTGACCTTGCCTCTCCTTGTATGCTTCATCTTGCCGTTTGAAAAAAAAATCGTTCCTTTTCTTATTCCTTCTTTTCTTTCGTCAATAATAAAACATCACACAGAAACAACTTAACATGAATCCTCAAATCCCAGCAATCCTTAACGCTATCAAAAACAATAACGATTCAATGCTTGCACTTGCACGGTCGGTCGGCTCCTTGGAAAGGGAAGTTGATGTCACAGTAAGGCGTTGGATGATCTTTCCACATCAGTAACTCTTATAGCTGGGGATGTACAGTGCTGTCCTTTCATGTCCATCTGTAGAATCTTCCAGCTCCGTATCAAGAGCGTTTTCTTCTGGGCTGTTCGACGGCATGCTCTTGACACTGTCTTACAAACGCAAAGTCGACTCACAGACGAAGTTTGTAATGGAGGAGCTGACCAGTCTGTGCCACGACGTCGTCAGGGAGCACCAATTGGATATCACGCGCAGCGACGCAGTCAATATCAGGGACAACATATGGGGACGATCTGGGATAATGGTCGATGGTATTCTCAGCAAACCTGATATTGATTTGCTTAGAACGAGCTGATCAGCGATACCAGAGACGACCTTGAAGGCGCAACAAGATTTATAGAGCGCATGCTAAAGATCTGCACCCTTGGCTGCGTGCGTGAACAGTTGGGCTACAAACAAAATCCTGCAACTTCGGGGGATCGCGCAATAACTTACAAGAAACGCGTTGCCTAGGGCGGCTTCTACCAAAAATCAGTAAGTACATACTAGGAGTATTAGCGTTTCCGGTATATATGTATATAATGCTTACCTTCAAAATATTACAGTTTTTAAACGCTATCAGACATTATCAAGCGCTCCACAAGAGGAAACATGTGTTTTTTCAGAATAAAGGTATATATACTCTACCAATGCAGATGTATTTGACGTACTTCATAGCACACACACTGGTTGTACTCAACCAGCGTTCGTCAACACCATGAGGTTGCGTTGCCGTCGACATCAAACACAGACGACTGTTCAAGGCTCCTAGTGTAATAGTCGGAAGACGAAGACGCGTCGCAACTGCCCAGTGTGTTGCTCTCTTTAAGCCAAGGTATACAGTAGATCAAAAATCCATATTGCATGGCATAGAATGAGCATCCATGATATACCAACCTAATTAAAAGAGAGACTACATCACGCAAACGCGCTAATGACTTCACTGACAGCACCAGTGTTGCTCGCGTCGGTGCTCGTAATGCTCGTGGTGTTCGCTGTTGCGGTCGTGTTGGCAACTAAATAGAATTGAACACTTATTTGCTTGTGTACTACACAATGCAAAAATGATTTGTCAAAGATTTAATATAGAAAGCAAAATTTAATAATAAACATATTGTCATCCAATCGAAATCAGTTTTTTAGCATACATAATATGAAAGAGGATCAATGAGGAAATGTGAATAGCTGATGAAGTATCCAATGATGCTCCCAAACGGATACAGCTATACGTACAACGACCAATAAGACACGATGTATGTACCCAATCATAAACACAGTTGAACGCATTTCACGCTTCAACCGACCAATAAGACGAATCAGAGAAACCACGCATATTAAGGTATATTAAGGTTTTTTCAGGTTTTTTCAGGTTTAAAAAAAACCTGAATATACCTTAATTTGCCCGTTTCAGGTTTTTTCAGGTTTTAGGTTTTTTCAGGTTTATTAAGGTATATTAAGGTTTTTTCTTTCCTATAGTGGGCACTTATTCTTTTTCAAATGATATATGGACCATCATCTATATCGTCTCCATTGCGGATTATACGTAACTTGTTGTCACCAGTCCAGATGGGAAGAAGGCGCTATTGCACTATGCAATATGCCTATTTCTAATTTTTCTTCAAGCATTGGATTTCCAGAGTACAGTACTATCATTTGTCTCGGTTGTATACGAATTTACTGCAGTCAGTGTCTCTGCTCTCTTTTTGTGCTCGAAACACCTATATATTGAGTATGGTTTTGTTGCTTTCTATGATGAGAGCATAAGTGATGAGTTAAAACTACACATAGCAAGCTAAGAATACAGTTGCAACCTGCAAGTCACCTAAATGATTGTACTGTAAAGGCTGCCTTTGTATCTGGCGCGTACTCATCAGTGTACGATTTGGTGTTAAGGCGATGATCGGTGTACGTTTGGCCAATAGCAGGATGGTAATTCGCTTCCTGTAGACGACGATTTTTATCACTAAGATAAACAAAACAGTGACATGGACAGAAGCACACTCACATTATACAACCGTACAAAAACCAAAATACCACCAACAAACAAATGTATATTCGTACGATTTACATGCCCTCAAAAATACGTAAAAGCTTAGCAAAAGCAGGATCCTAAGCGGGTCAACTGGATACAACTTGCAATAAGATTAGCAGAAAACAGAAGAGAACGATCACGATATTCATACATAATCAGGTTGTAGCTCACAGTATAATAACATGACAGTTGTTCTTTCAACTGGGGTGGGTTATTACACTGCCATGCCGTTAGAGAGTTAAGCATAGATGTGTACATGCGAAGAAATTGCTACATATGTAATGTACTGTATAATGAGCTATCTAGAACGCAGCACAGTAAGGATGCATAGCCAACACATCGCGTAAGCAGGTGTGACATTACTATTCTCTCACGTAAGTAACACAATAACATATTTTATTGATTGCTGTTATGCGTCTCTATGAATAAATACTATAGGCCAGGAATTTCACTGAGCACGAATGCGTGTGATGTTCCGTTCTAGGAATACCCACAAAGAAGAGCAGCGATACAAAGACATTTTGATCAATTCTTAACTCATAACGTGCATGATAAGCTCGAAAAATAAAGTAACGGGAAGAGCTGTATAGCGACTATGTGTTCAAGATGATGGTGCTTTGTCTATCTTGATACCAATAATCAGCCTAAGGGAAGGCAAGCACTGATCTTTTATGTAAAGAGAGCTATAGAGATATATGTTTTATTTTTATTTGTATTATGCTAAACATTACGAAAAAAAAGGGTTCAGTGAAAAGGGCATAGTTGATGGTCATAAAGTGACCCGGCTTGACCGGAAGCACCAATACAGCAAGCCGATTGCTGATCTCTGCCGCGAGTGCCACGCCAGCATGATAGCTGAGGCATCAGTCATTGAAGCATTGTGATCCGCCATTTATTCTTGTCACTTCCACTTATATCAGTTCCTTTCTGACGCACTATTGGCCACTAAAACGTGCAACATCGTTGGCTCGTGTTGTTTTCGTTCACCATTAACACTGGGCAATACCGGCTGTGTAGTTTCCGCAGCTGATTTCCGCCACGACGTTCATGCCCCCCAATCCTCGATCCGACTCCCGTGCCTGCTCGGCCAATGCACATCACTGCGACCGACTTGTCCGTGTTACCCTTGACGTATGAGCGTTCTTCACTACAGATTGAACTGTCTTCTTGTTTAACTGGGATGTAAATTGATCGATCGACTGTCTATTGCGGGAGTAATATACTTATAGAGGTGCCAGTAAGGGAGACCAGCTTCCCCCCACATTCTCCCAATTATCTCTGAAGTCAGCTGTTGACTCAAAATCGGACAAGTTAATTTATAAGTGAAGACCAAGCATGCGCGACGAATCAGACATAAAAAAGCGAAACGTTTCCTACCTAGAAATCGTCCTCTCTCTTTAAAAAATAACCACTTCTCCAGGACTCGTACGTAATATCCACGCTCGAAATCAGTGTTGGACCCTGATTTGCTGCAACAATCTGAGTGACATGGACAAATTCGTGAAGTTTTAGACGGTGAACTTTTTTCCCTCTTGCCGCCCTTTCTTTCCACCATTTCCTCTTCTTTTTCTTTCTCTTGCAAAATAAAATGAGCATGTTATCCTTTTTTTCATTTTGAATCCTTTTGAATACTCACCTAATGCGTCATCTTTTTTAATCTTCCGCAGCAAAATGCTCGCCGTGTGTCAGAATCGGATCTTAGCTAAAATTTGGCTTCTGCTAGTACATACTAGTATTGAGCCAACAGCTGGCTTCAAAAATAATTTGGAGAATATGAGGGAGAAGCTGGTTTCCCTTACTGGCACCTCCATAAGCATATTGCCTTACTGGCACCTCCATAAGTACAATAGTGCACACTGATTTGACCATTTTGATATATCACAATGCTAGCTAGAGCAATAATGAGATATGGATTTGTGAATTACTTCTGAGCATGTGAGCAAACTCTTACATAGAGCTGCTTTTCGTTTTGTATATGCAAATTGACTAGAAGAATACAGCGTTATGAAAGGATGTTATATACAAATGAGGTATGGTATGTACTCAAATAAACTATTTTTACAGATAATGCTACGATCCACTTTTGTTCTCCAACGCATCCAGACGCTCACTGACTTCGCTGAGTGCATTTTCAACGAAGTTCTTTGTAAGCCTTTCCATGGAGAACTGTAATGGAAATGTAATACCGTCTTCTGTGCTGTTGATGTTATCCAAATGCTTCTTGCCGATCTCTTCTCCTCTATCCGCCGCAACAGGATCCACTAGTCGTCGGATAAACTCTCCATGATTACTATATAATAACAAAATTAATCAAATCTAATATGAGCATTCTCAAAGAAAAAGAATCCACTGATTGCCATGGAAAGAAAAGAAATAGAGGAAGATGGAGAATAGAAAACATACTCGAGTACTTGGCATATATCATCGACCACCTTCATAGTGCGCATGGGGAACATTTCGGCAAGTACAGTAGTTCGAGCTTGGATAACAGTTTGGTCCAACTCTCCAATACTTTTCTCCAACGAACTCAACCGAGCCTTCTTGCGTTCATTGGTTACCAGCAGTTGATCATGTCGTAACCGTTTCGCTCGCTGTAGTAGCCCTTTAACTTCACGTCCTTGCCTTTGCACTTGTTGCTCGAGGGTATCTGCAGTGTCAATATTGACACAGCGGGCATCAAGAGCTTTGGTTCTTCTTCCGGCCTCCTTTAGTTCCTCTTGGACGATGATTACTGTTTTTAACATTTCAACTTGGTGCGATATGTCATGAACCTCAGATCGTAGTGTATCAGTGCGTTGCTTGCTTAGATCTGCCTTTGCTTGTTGCAGCAGATGTTCAATTTCTTTTCTTTCCTCCGATTCATTCGCCTTCCATGTTTCTTCGCACAGGTTGTACACGACTTGTTTGGCCAACTGCTTTTTGAGATCGTCTATAAATTTCCAGTTTTGCTTTTCGATGAATTTGTACAGCATTTGTCCTTCTTGCAAATCCTTATGAGACGTATCGTCGTCAAGTGGACGTTGTTTGCCGACACCTAATTTTCTTTCGACGGATCGTCTGATTTTGCCTTTCTCTACCGAAATCATGCCTTGTAACCCCAAAGGAGTATATTTTCGAAGCGACATGTCGGCCAGTTTGTTTCGCATATCATTCCATTCTCGCTGAATTCTGTTGTCAGCGTAATCACCGAGAGTTCCTTTGAATGCTTGTATTTTCTCCAACACTTCCTCGTGATGCGATAGATCATACTGCTTGCTAAATTTTATGATAAAGTCGTAGATTTTCGCCGCTGCAATCGTGTTCGTAGACTTCCAACTATTGTATCGTAGGAGAAACGGTAAATTAAGAGTACACCAATCAATGTGTGTGCGTGAGTAATCAGACAGAAATCAAAAATAAAGCTGGCCCCTCCCCCCCGCCACCATAAAATCAATTTTATGTACCTTTTCACAGTGTTTTCGTGCAAAACTCGAATTTCGTGGAGATGACGTTCTGTTACAGATGACCTTTAGACTCCATGGGCATACAGAAATAGTGTAATAAGAGGGAAGATAAGCGCAAATAAATTACCAAGTTCTTCTGCACGAATCTCTTGCTTATGAGCTCGGTGTATATCACAAAGTAAATCGAATCTTGCGAGTAATTTATCAGCATCTTCCCGTAAAGAACATGCTTGATATACAGAGCTATACATGAAGCTTCAAGTTAAAATTTACTCCTGTTCCTTGTCAACTGCTCCTTCTTCCGAAGACGTTTAAAATGTATTATTACTTGAGTGAGAATCGCGAAAGATCGTTGGCGAAAGCTTCAGTTCGTTGCTGTGGCTGTGATGCTGCTGGTGACGGCTCTTTAAGATCCTTAGTCTTAGTGACATTTGCCGCGGTTGAAACAATGACTTTTTGTTCCCCTAGAGAAGGTGGTGGTATTGATGCTGCTGGTGGCGTTCGTTCGTAAGTTTGTTGTATGACGGCACCCGTTGGAGCCGAGGTATCGGTGCTTTGATTGTTTAGGGAACATGCTGGCACAGGTGTAGCTTGTGATGGTCGGTGGTGATCGTTAACTCGCGTCGAAGCTGAAGCATTAGTACTGTGTTCTCCTGGCGAACGCTGCGACGTTGATGCAGCTCGCCCCATAGTTAATTGTATGGCTGGAAGAGGTATTGGGAGTTGCGTGATTAGGGTTGGAGGAGCATGATTATCGTTTATATTGTTCGGTGACAGAGTTGTATGAGTGTTGGCAAGATCATTTGGTGTAGTCGCAGCCATTGTCGATCTGCGGGTAGCGTCATTGCTGTTTTGTACTGTTTTTAGTAAATTGATCACACCGACATTTCTTTCAAGCACGGTCCTTTTCTTTACCTGCGTTGTAATGCTTCTAAATCCGGTGCAACAGTTTGACGATCGTCAAAGGACTGCTCTACTAATCTTCTAATTGCCTCTGGATCTGGTTCTGCAGTGATCCACGGCGTATGCGTCATGATTGCTGGAATTATTTTTTTTCCTTTTTTAAATTTCAATACTATGCAACTGTAATAGTTGTAGCTGTGTAAAATAGAAGAGTCAAAACACAGGAAGAAATGCAATCTGAGTTTAATTGCATCAGTTGATAACACTTCACCAGCGGCGCAGGTATTCTTCCTTTCTTTATCCAACCCAGTCCTTTTATTATACAAGACACAATGATTAAAATCTGGAACATGAAGGCCAAGGAGGCCGCCGCCGAAAAGAAGAAACCAAAGACAAGTGCTGCTCAGATTCGTGTGCAGAAAGGTAAAGGAACACATTCCTTCTTCACGTATATCTTATGGTCAGATTTTGTATGGGTGTATGGTTGTAAGATTGTCTATCCGTTTTCCGCAGCGTTCAACTTAAAAACAAATTCCTCTTCCCAATGATACTATAGACTTGTCAGAGTTGGAGATTCCTTCTACTATCAAACTAGAATTCCCTGATCCATCTGACATTCTCAACTTCAACGTGAAGATCAATCCAGACGAAGGTATGAATATAATGAATTCTTTTCGGGTGAAGCAAAAGTGAATGTATCGTATGACTTATATGTGTATTTGTTATTGTGGTGCACTATTGTTAGGTCTTTACAATGGTGGTCGGTTTGCTTTCACTTTCAAAATCAATAACAACTACCCCCACGAACCACCAAAAGTTCACTGCACTCAAAAGGTAGATACTGAAAGCTGCATAATCAATTTGCCATAAGCAGAAAAAAGAAGTGGGCTAACTTTGTATATGCAAAGATATATCATCCAAACATCGACCTCGAGGGAAATATCTGCTTAAACATCCTGCGTGAAGACTGGAAACCAGTCCTTTCATTGCATTCTGTCCTGGTTGGTTTGCAATACCTGTTCCTGGAACCTAACGCGGATGATCCATTGAACAAAGGTTTGTTGGTGTATTATGGAGAGGGGTTGTGGTGTTGCGGATCTGCTACTAGCTGTAGTATGTTTTTACAAGCGTATACTGATTCTGATGTGTATTATATATTCATCCACATATTAGAGGCCGCAGAAGACTTGAGACAAAACCGAAGTGGATTCGCGTCGAATGTGAAGCGATCGTTGGCAGGTGGCGCACTGAAGGGCATACAGTACGATAATGTTTTAGCATAAGAAACCTAAAAAAAAGCATAATAAAGTAAGATATACGCATGGGATTCCTCACGTCTTTGGATGTGTAACGAAACTCGCTTTCTTGTATGTATACATAGATAGATAAGAAGGGTCTTGCGGGTGTTGAGAAAGAATAAGGTATGGCATGAGAGAATAGATAGAGTGGGTGTTAAGGTTGATTTCCGCTGCTACATTAAACGAGGTAACCTAAAGCATTAGAAGTACTAAGTCTCCATAGAAAGGATCGACAGTTATTAAAAAATAAAAATTGTGGATACTCATAATAGCATGAGTTGGTTAGTTGGTGATGTATGTGTAGTTAGTGTTATAGAAGCGTATAGTAATCATTTGTCTTTCCCGTTCAGCCAAAATCGGTGAGGTCATATACATGCATACTCTCCTCTGTTCTCCGAAGAAAACACACAAAGCGTGCCTCTTGCACGATCCGTTCCCTAATTGAGTTATCGACCTTGTTGGTGGATTACCAAACCAAGCTTCAATATGAAATCTTTTTTGCTTATACAATTTTAATTTAATACTACTACTACTACTACCACCACCACCACAACTTACCTAATCTTTTACTCTCTCTCTCTCTCTCTCTCCACTCCTTTTCAAAATACATATATAATTTTTCTGTGTGTGCGTTGCCATGGACGACGCGACTACCCCGACCGATCCTTTTCTCAATCTAGCGGAATGGACCAGGGCTATTGTCAATGTCGACTTGGAGCGCGTCCAGCAACTCTATCAGTCGTGCCCTGACTTGCTATGGTGCTCATTGGTTAAGGATGCCACCCACGTTGACACAGAACATGCCCATTTACTCGCGCAGCTCGAGCGTTCCGAAGTCCTTGGCCCTGACCTCGGTGATATGCCCGCCATTCCCTACATGCTTCTAGATCATCTCGAGACGACTGACGACGATGAAACAGCAACCTTATCAATAGCACAGCAAAAACGTTCTCGGTTACTATCCTATCTGATTCAGGTTCGCTACTATTTTACTGCCTGTCTGTTTATATTACATGCATACGCACATTTGCTGACTTTGGTTTTTTCTTCTCGTCAAACTGTATATTCACAATACTGCTGCAACCAAACACACGTGCTCGTAGCATACAACCGAAGCAGACTTGAATACTCGATCGTGGGGATCGTGTAACAACAAAACTTTGCACCTGGCAGCTTTTCTCGGTCAAAATCAGATTGTGAAACAACTCACGGAACGTGGTGCTTCGCCAACTGTCACCAATGATTTAGGTTGTACGCCCAAGGATATCGCCATTGATCCTCCAGTCGCAGTTCAAGAACAGCAACAACAACAGCAGCAAAAGATCCGTAATAACGATAACAAAGCAGCGCAGCAAAAGTTGAAATCGAGTTATTCGCCGTCCGAACGGTTTCAGCAACTGCGCGCCATGGCGACAGAACAGTCGGCTAGCGATTCAAAGAAACAAGGCAGCCAAGAAGATCTACGGCAGCAGACACGACGACAGCAAGATTTGTCATTGCTCGCAAAACGTTCAGCTGTCAAAAACAACCCGTTGTTTAAAAAGTTCGAACAGACCGAGCAACAATCGTCGAAGCCGCAACCACGCAAGAAAAGCTCGTTGCCCGTTGCCACGACAGGAAGCAGCAGTAGCAGTAGCAGCAGCAACAGCAACAGTGGGAGTAACAGCAATTTGCTGGTGCCGGGCAACAACAATAACGATGAGAACGGCATCCGCAGAAACTCCAAGGTCATCAACTCGCTTATGACAAAATCGTTTGTGTCGTCAAGCGTCTTCAGACAAGGCGAACTTGAGCGACCGTCTTCTCGCGCATCTTCGCGCGGTTCCTCGCCTGTACCTGCTTCTCCAACATCCTCACGTGCTGCATCGCCCGCTCCGCCCGTGTCGCCCTCTTTGCCGCCTTCGATACCAGCAGCAGCAGCTACGACAACAAAAGCCACTGATGACTCTCCTGCAGTTAAGCGTGCTTCATTAGACACAGCATTAAAGTCGACAACCGACATAGAACCACCGTCACCAGTGCCAGCATCTTCTCATGAGAAATTCATTGAAGCATCCGTTATAGAAGAGGCACCCCCAGCAGTTGATGAAGAAGCAACCACAATTCCATCTGTCAGAGAAAATGATGTCTCCGAGCTGCCCTTATCACCTGCGACTAAAGGCGCTGAGAAGACCGAACCGATACCCGAAGAAACCGAGGCTGATCATGATACCCTATCGCCCGAAAAGGACGCACAATCGGAAACGATCGATATGCTCAATCAACAACAACGACGTCTATCAGAGCATCTCACGCAAGCAGAAGGCGATGAATCGCGCCGATGGAGCGGCAGTCAGCGCTCGCATTGGTCTGTGGGTGTCAATTCGTGGGACAACGTTCTAAATCGTGAAAGCAAAGAGGTTAGAATGAGCGTTCAGAGCGAAGCAGGCAGCGAGCAATGGTTTGATAGCAATGAGGAGTGGTATGAAGAAGGCGGTAAGCGATACTCTTTGAGGCCCAAACCTCGCTCCGCTGATCCAGAGAACCAGGTGGAACGATCACCTCTTCGGAAGTCTATGTTAGCCATGCAGGTGACTGTCGATGATGTAGACGATGAAAGCGATGGCATTGTTGCCGGCGACGTTCATACGACCGCCAGGGAAAACAACGACGATCAGTTGCCAAAAGACGCAACGGACAAAAGTGATAAGGGCATAGAACCAGTAAGATCCTCATCGTCGTCTTTGCAGCAAGAGCAAGAGCAGCATGATGACGATGATACTAGTAATGCTTCAAACGAAACCATGACTTTGCAAAGCGTCCACCAGTCAGCACCATCAGCACCAGCATTATCTCTTGAAGAACAACAGTCTGGTGATGCAAATTCTGTTGATGAGGCGTCAATTGAATCACGTGAGCCTTCAGCCTCGTTCAGCCCACAACAACGTCGATCCCTTGGCGCAGAAAGTGTGGATACATGGCCTCCACCACCGACATCGCCTCCTCGATTGAACAGACCATCTATCGACAACGTCAAAGATATCAAGGACATTGACAACTACGAGCTCAACCGACAGAATGTGGTACAACAGCAAGATACTACTTTGGACGACGACTTACAAACGACCGACGAGACTACTGTGGTTTACGATCATTATGACCAGCAACAGCAAAAGCAAAAGCAGCAGCAGCAGATGACTGATGAGAACTTGGTAACATTTGACAATCGTCGGCAAGACGAACGTCATAAGCAATTGCAACGCGAATCTATGCTGGTTGGAGAAAATTACGGTAGCGTATCGGTTGGAACGACGTCGCGATACGTATCTCATCGACTGCAGCCCGAACAGCCACCATCGGACGAATATGACGATTTTCTTACTGGTCGACCTCAAAGCGTGAAACTCGAATTGCCTGCTGTCGAGACCAGCCCTGGCCAATCTACATCTGCATTCGGCAAACTGTATGTCCGTGTCAGTGCCGCGGAGGATCTTCTTTTACCGCTACCCAAAGAAACGACTTATGCACGCTGTGTGGTGAGCGACGGACATTTTGAATACATGTCACGATACGAAGCGCTTGGCCAAAAGGTAGCTTTTGACTATGAGTGTATCGTCGATGCCCAGCCAAACATGATCATTACTGTATCACTGCATGTACGGCCTGATGTTCATGTTCGACCGAAAACAGGATTGACGAAATGGCTTACTTCGGCTCGCAAGCAGCGCGAAACGATCAACGGCTATGTGCATTTCGACGATGGTTCGATAGGTCAATCACGATTTGCCTTGGGACATATGATCCAAGCTTGTAATCAGAAATCATATGTAGCCAGTTTTGACTGCTTCAATTCGTGGTATGCCCGGTCATCCAAGGAACGACAGCGGCAGCTGCGTGGTGAAGAGGACGTGCTCAAGGTGGTTGGTAGCCTCAACGTCGAAATGCTGTATTTGCCCGTGTCTGATCCATCCCTTGTAAGTATTGTGATTTCCAATAACTCTCCTTGAGATTTATCCCGTGCATTTTTACCTTATCTACTGAGACACACTAACCTATTTCCAAACCATCTCACTTGATGATCTTGCTTCTCCACCCTCACTTTTGTCATTCTTTATTGCCTGCCTTTATTCTTTAATGGTGTTCTTATCTGGATCGTCATGATACCTATAGCCAATTCCAAGAAGCCTACGAGAATGTGATTTGGCACTACGTATTCGCCAATGGCACCAAACTTGCTGGCACAGCGGATATCTTTCCACGCGCAAGGAGAGCTCACAGGTAAATACAGAAGAAAACGATGGATGAACCCATATTTCCGAGCTCAACAAGTTCATTGACCTAAAACACGGACATGTTAAATGAATGTTATCCATGCATGCAGCTGTGGGAGCGACACTATTGCCGTCTGATTGGCAGTCAACTGATCGCGTTCGCATCAAAGGCAGCTGCATCTTCATTTGAACCACTAGGCCAGCACGATATTGCAGATGCGCTTCGTCTGGTTGCGGCTTCGGACCAGGTCATTGTCACGCTGGTGGACATACCCGATAACCGAGTGTTCCAGTCAAACACAATCGTGGAACAAACAGCCCGAGGATTTTTCCGCATCACCTTCCCTGACACGTACCTGGATTGCGTCTGCGACGAAGCTCGGGAAAGCGAGGAGTGGGTGCGAGTGCTAAAGTCTATGATCGGACGAGTGCCGTTAAAAATGCCATTTTCAGTTTAGTCTGTCACTAGTCTCTCTTCCTCCTCTTTTTTCTCTGTATACACGCACACACATCACCATCCTATCATCAGTAACCCAAATCCAATCACGGGTGTTGTTTGAACTTACTTTATACTACTCTCTGCTTCTACCGCTATTACTACGCCCCGCTTGTTTTTTGAATATTCCCCTTCTTTTTCTTCTTCTTTTCCCCTTGCCAAAGTATAACATTAATTATTCTATAAAGAAAGAGAAACCATCCTCCTCCTTCTTTCTTGCTTAAATTCGATACTCTACAGCCATCTAAAACAATCATGGCTATCATTCACAAGCGGATGAATCATGGTCTGCTCGGACTCTTGCTTTTCATTAGTCGTAATTCTAGTCTACGTGTCTGCAAATCTCACAGCAACTACATTTCATGCGCGACGAGAGTCTGTCTCTGCCGAAACAGCATCATCACCACAAACGTATTACGATGGTACCCCTAGCCAGCAAGAAGAGTCTTATCCTGCTGTTAATACCGATCCCTATCACAACACAGACTATTACAGGAACAAGGCATTCGTTACCGTGGTAACCGATGCGAGCTCGGTAAGAATAATGAAGTACAAGAAGCAACCCGACAGCAATGAAAAGCTTTACTATCACAGTAATAACAGCAACAACTTTAACATGGCAGAATATATGCACAGATTGATGCGACTGTCGTTTCAATTTATTCGCTTCAAACTATCGCAAAGACGCAGGCCAATATTGTAGTTGTTTTGGAGACTGATGAAACAACAAAAGCATCAGCTTCGTCTGCCAATCAGTTTGCTGCTATGGATGTCCAAATATTACATGTATGTTACGAATTCCCTCAAAAAATATGCCTGTTTACTGTTTGATTGATGTATATAATATTTGTAGGCATCTCCTGGCTCCGATCCCATATCACAGGCATTAATCCATTATAGGAAGCTTGTGTACTTTTCAAGCGAGATCTTGTTCAAAAAGGTAAAGATCGCATAATACGTTATCTTCGTTGCTTGGCATTTAATTAATGTTTTGCATATTACATCTACTTAAGTATCAAAATACACTAAATATTGAAACTTGAATGCAGAACATCGACCATTATTTTGGCTACCCTGCGCATGCTGTTCTTGAAGATTCAGAGGGTAGTGTTGGACTGCGTGTTTATGAGAGGTCAAGCGAGCGACCATCTTTGCTCGGCTCCGTCACATTTCCATTGTATGGAAATTGGCGTTTTCTAAAAAATAATTGGAATCGGATTTTAAAAAATAAATGCCACAAGGTTAAATTATTTTTGGCACAAGTTGGTAACTAAATTAGCAGATGTTTTTGGCGGTTTTTTTTGTCCTTTTTGCTTCTTTATAAAAATATAACATAACAATGACTACATTTTTTTATGAAGATGGACAAGAAAACCTTTTCAATGAACATGGAGAAAAAGTTTACGATCCAATGGAAGATGTTTTAACACAAATTGACGATCCCAATATAGTTCTTGAAACAATAACCAATCGAGAAACTTACTTGAGTGCTAAACGCCCCGAAAAAGCTACTGGTGAACCATCAGTTACGAAGCCGATGAAATCTAGTAATTTGACTAAATCAATCAAGTCATACAGTATTTATAGTGATACGACCAGAGAATCGTTTATCGACCGTATGCTTGAGCAACCGCAGGAGCGTGGCTTAGTGGCTAAAGTTGCAAGAGAACTCAACGTGAAGTACCGTACTGCACTGAATTGGTGGCACATTTATGAAGAAACGGAAGGAGTGCCGTATAAAAATAGTGAAAAAAACAGTGGTCCAAAAAGCTCATTCACAACTGAGCATAACGAGTACATTACCAAGCTACTTGACAACGACCCTCAGATATTTGCGGACGATATTATAAATAGCTTGACTGAACAATTCGAAGGCTTCACCATTTCAAAATCACAAATGAACAACCATTCACGTAATACCATGCTTATCACTGTAAAAAAGCCATATTTCGAACCTGAAGTTAGAAACTCAGCAGAGAATCTCCAGACACGATTCGAATGGTTTATGAAATGGAAAGATTCTGATCTAGATTTTACAAAAAATTGTATTTTTATAGCTGAAGCCGGTTTCCACATCAACATGAGACTCAATTGGGCCAGATCGAAAAGTGGAAAAAAGGCCATCGTAAAGCAACCACAAACCAGAGCACCAACACATACAATGACTGGTGCCATTCACTCCTCTAGCATTATTCACGTTGCTATCAGAAAACCACCACCAAAAAAAGAAATTGAGGCTGCTAAAAAAAAAAAAAGGCTAATAATGGGAAAAAAAGACCAGCAACTGAGATTAGTGGAGAGAATACAGAGGTTAACGACGATTCTGCTGATAATAATTCAGTAAAGAAAGGTACAACAACTGCTCATTTCGTTAAGTTCATGAACGAAGTTCTTGCTGTACTGGATGCCGAAGAAGCTTTTAAAGGAAGTTATATAGTTCTAGATAATGCTTCTATTCATAAGTCTAAGCTGATGATAAGAAAGATCGAAAGTAAGGGTTACAGAGTAATGTATCTGCCTCCCTACTCGCCTGAATTGAACCCTATTGAACAGTTTTGGGCAATAGTCAAAGGGAAGATGAAGCGTGACAGACTAATGAATGAAGAAAATCCGTCTAGTAGAATTACTGATGCTTGTAATGATATACTCATCAGTGACCTTAATGGTTTCTGTAATCATTCTAAGCGCCAAATTATTAATTGTTATAATAAGACACCTTTCTAATATACAGTCGTTCCAACGCCAAAGGGCGGTTTTCTAAAAAAAAAGTGTGGCCAATAAAGCTTCCCAAAGGATGCTTTTGATTTTTCCAAAAGGCGGTTTTGATTCATCTAATGAGTGGTTTAATTTTCCCAAAAGGGTGGTTTTTTTTTATTGTGCCAACTCTTTACCGCTGAAGAAAATAGGTTGGGCCAATCAAAAAAAAATTGGGACAGCGATATTTGAAACAGGACAAGGATATTTGCAAGGGAAACTTTTTGTCCAGTAAACTTTTTTTTAGCAATCAGAAAATGGGTTTTTTTTCTTCAACCGGTCCAAATACGGCAGTTGCCATAGAGAGGACGAAAGATATGGTAAAACCCAACCCAAATGAACCCACCCCATGGTATAAGAAAATTCTAGACTTCATATAAAAAAAAAAGTAACAATAGTTTGCTTAGAAAGTTATAAAGAATAGTAGTTTAGAAATTAGTTCAAATTTTTTCAAATAAAAAAGCACGGCTCGGAGAGTCCTTTACGATATCTTTCATCCCCTCTACGGCAAAAAACATGCCAGCTTATGTGAGGAGACTATAAAAAAACATGCCAGCTTATGTGAGGAGACTGTAAAAAAACATGCCAGCTTATGTGAGGAGACTGTAAAAAAACATGCCAGCTTATACGAGGAGACTAGGGGTCGCAATTGGACGGGTCGGGTCGGGTCAAGGGTCTGACCCGTTGACCCACGGGTCAAGAAAACACTGACCCGACCCGACCCGTTCAACCCGACGGGTCAAAACTCGGGTTGACGGGTCACTACTGATTTTGATTTGGTGACAAAGGAGGTGTCAATCAACCTGAGCTTGAGCACTGGAAGTGCAAAACTACATGTATACACAGCTCTCTAAGATGATGGCACGCAAATTCCTAGCAGTGCTAGCAATATCTACGTTTTGTGTGATTATTCTTAAAGGTAAAGGGTTTGTGCCATAACAAAAGAAATCGTTTGCGCTCACATGCATTAAAGAAAGCATAATGGTTAAAGTGTGGTTAAAAATTGACTTCCTTTAAATGCCCGTAATCCTTTTCCCTTTTCCCTTTTCTTTTCATTTCTTCCTTCTTCTTTCATTTCTCTTTTCTTAATTCCTTCTACGTCTTTTGTCAAATCTCGTCTCTCACTGCCACTCTCTATTGTCTATTCTCATTGTACTATTGCTACTTCTTTACTTTGCTACTTCTTTACTACTATTACATATATTGCTTATAGCTTACTTATCTTACACTTTTGAATATAAAATATGATCCCACAATGAAAAAGAATATAAGTACGTTTTATGTTACAGTTCTATAGCAGACATATTGACAACTACATCTTTAATATAATGATCCTTTCCAACAAGAAGATTGACTACTTGAATACAAGTACCTCATAGATATCATATGTATACACGGGTCACAACGGGTCAACGGGTCGGGTCAAGGGTTAGACGGGTTGACCCGCGGGTCAGAAAAGCATCAACCTGACCCGTTGACCCGTCCTCAACCTGCGGGTCGGTTTTGACCCGCGGGTCAGATTGCGACCCCTAGAGGAGACTGTAAAAAAACATGCCAGCTTATATGAGGAGACTGTAAAAAAACATGCCAGCTTATGTGAGGAGACTGTAAAAAAACATGCCAGCTTATACGAGGAGACTGTAAAAAAACATGCCAGCTTATGTGAGGAGACTGTAAAAAACATGCCAGCTTATGTGAGGAGACTGTAAAAAAACATGCCAGCTTATAGGGATTAAACTTGAACTATTAAATATATCATATTTGATTGTTTAATATTATCAATGACTTAATAATAATTTCTTATAAATATATATAATTTTCAGATTTTGAAATTTTTTTAAGATGAATATCAATTTAATATATAAAACCTATTTACATTTATTACTATGGAGGAACAATTCTATTTATTTATTGTGAATATAAATCAAAGCGGTTGATAGTTTATAAGGTGTAAGTTGTAAAAAAACTTGTACCACGACTCTTTGTGGTTCTTTCTCTTAGAGAAAGGTTCATGAATTTCAATAAAAAAATAACATTTTTTGTCTTTGAAAAATTCAAAATAACTTTATACTTCTTTTTATTATATATAATTATCAGTACTATAATGACCTAATATTTATCTTATAAAATAATTTTACATACTTTTTTTTATAAAATTGAATTTTATTATATTATATGAATTAGATATCAAAATATAAGATAAATAATAATTATATAGATATTTAATTCTGGTTTTTACCTAAGGTTATAAGTTTTTCCTAATTGCTTTGTAAATAAGTTAAAAGGACGGTTTTTATTATAAATTTTCAAAATGGTATTTGATGAACATAATAGCTTACTAAATAAAGAAGAAGTTTTAAAATATAAAACATTATTACAGGAAGAGATAGATAAATTAATTATAAATGAATAGGGATTTATAAATGAAAATTGGAAGAAAAAACAAAATAATTATAAGCATCGAACAGAATTGAAATATATTAAAGAAATAGATGGAATTAAGAAAGAATTATTACAAAAGCTAGGATATACTTCTGTATTTTTCTTTTTAACTAAATTATATACACATAAGGATTATCCTTCACCATATTTTGAAATTAAAAAAGGGTTATATTTAATATATCATCTTGTATCAGGTATTACATCTAAAGATATGAAACGAAATATACCATATACATCATTCTATAAATTTTATAAAGAATTTTGGATAACAAATTATGATAGTTTGAATAAATATGTAGATATATATCTAAAAAATATGTTTTCTAATATTAAAATAAGAATTAATTCTGCATTAATAAAAAACCCTAAAAATTTTAAAAATATAACATTACTATTAGATGGTCATGATAATACTATTGAATATGATCAGCCTGACATTTCTGCACAAAAACGATGGTCATATAAATTAAAAACATCAGGTTTAAGAACACAAGTATTAACAGATATTAATAATTTTATAATTGCAGTTTCTGATAGTCAACTATGTGGAGTTAGTAGTGATGGTGGTATGTTTTTAGATATGAAATTATATGCGAAAATGGATAAAAGAGATGTTTTAGCTATTGATGGTGGTTACACATTATTTATTAAACAGTTTGAAGACTTATGTAAAAAGAAACATATTTCATTAAGTAATAATAATTTCTGTTATCCTATTAGAAAAGATCCTAATGAAGAATTGAATATACAAGAAAAACATTTTAATGATGTATTTGGAAGTTTTCGGTCAGCTATAGAAAACCACTTTTGTGAATTAGGAAATAATTTTAACGATTTTTTAATAATAACTCTACATTAAAAACAGATGATTATAAATATATTAACTTACATATAAAAGTAGCATTTTTACTTAAAAATATACAATTATTTACAGATACATTCAATATAATTACACGAGAACACCATAAGCTATGGGCTGAAAAAAACTTTGAATTTCCTACTGATGAAAAACTAATAGATATAATTTTAAATAATGAGATAAAGCAAATAGAAAAATTAAAATAATGAGTGAATTACAAAAAGATTTATCAGATTTATCATTAGAAAGTGATAATATAATTATTGATGATGATAATAATAATAATGAAGAATCTAATAATCATATAATTGATAATAATGAAGATATAGACTTCCCTGAATATAAAAATATTAATAGAAAATAAAGAAAAGAAAAATAAAAGTGAAAGAAAAATTAATTTAAATTTAATTAGAGAAATTAACAAAAATAATAATTTTTATGAAATTGAAACAGTTATAGAACATAAATTAAGTAAAAATAATGAATATGAATTTCTTGTTAAGTGGAAAGATTATGATGAAACAGATAATTCCTAGGTAAATGAGAAAGATTTCAATGAAAAACAAATATTAAAAGATTATTTTAAAACCAAAAGCATTATGTATTAAATTAATTATTTTTATATATGTAGATTATTATTATAATGTTTCTAATAACTATATTTAAACTATTAAATGTAGTAGGTTTCATAATTTTGTTATTAAACATAAGGATAAGGATTAATTCTCTTATGTGAGGAGACTGTAAAAAAACATACTGAGAGTCAAAAAAATAAATAAAAAAAATTGGAGTATAAGCATCGATTTTTATATAACTTAGAAAGTAAAGTCGAGTTTATCTTTATATTATTTCTCCTTGTTAAATTCTGACTCTATAGTATATAAATATAATTTTTACTAAATAGAGCCTCTGTAAATCACTGTCTAATATAACAAATGCATTACATTAATGAATATTTAAGAGATTATATTATACGGGTGCAACCTAATAGCAAGAAATACCTAAATACGACACCAAGTATATTTTATAAATGCATTTTCGATAAGAAAGGAGATATGCCTTTTATTCATAACTGTTTTCAATGATTATAATGAGAAGAGATGGATTTTCTTTTGCATGATGTTTTGGAATTAATTGCTTGCAATAACATGTGATCAGTTAGAGTTGGTGGATGATCGTCGTAATGATGAGTACTGCAATTAAGAACATGCTCAAAGCTTGATATAATTTTTGCAATTTTGCTCGATTGAGCAATAAATAGGGGAATATGAGCAAGCTTTAAGGCCAATTGAATATGTTCGACTTCACTCATGGTATATATATTAGCCTTGGCACGATGCAAAACGTAAAAAGTTACGTGATTACCTGTATTCCAAAAGAATTATTAAAAATACAATCAACTCTTTGGACATAACAAAGACTTACCAACAACAGTAAAGGCAAACGTGGCGATAGCTTTATACTTGTCTGAGGCGGCTTTCGCTAAACGTGCGACGCGAATGAGATCCAATCCAGTGAGCCGATGATTTAGTGCTTGATACTGAGATTTGATTTCACTGCAGCCTAATCTTTGATCTAGTGCGGCACCGTACACAACATTAATCGACGCATCTGGTCGTAACATAATAACCTTGTCATTATCACTAATAGATGTCCTATTATGTGGAATTAAGTTAGAGATTAATAGCTGAGTCTGGTTACATTTTATCAATTTCAGGTACACCTCATTACCATCGAAAAAGAATATGCTTATCGATGTTTTCAAACAAAGGTACAAGAGCGGCTTGAAGATACCGGGTGATTAGCTCTGTTTCTTGTGGTCCATCTTCAATGACAAAACGGGGAAGAGCCTCTACTGTACAAAAGTGTTAGACTCATATACATTATTACTTTTTTAAATCTTACATATTTCTTACGGCTAATAAAATCCTGTTCGTTGTATTAAATGTTGCATCTTCTTCAATCAATGATGCGATTTTGCAGGATGCAACGAGACGCAAGGATTGATCAGAATCGTTAACGATATTCTAAAGAGGTTAAGCAGTTAATTTTTACATTATCTATCTGTTTTTAGAATGTGCAAGAGCTTATGTTTGATACATTGTCAATCAGATTATGGACAATTCCTTTAAGCTTTTCTTTTGTTTCACTAGGAAACATCTGGCTGGTGATACCGTTGCTGTTTAGAATATGTATCAGCAACTTTTCACATTGGTTGAATGTGATGTGTTCGTGTATATCCGTATGTGTTCAGCCTGGTTTCAAGAGAAGAATGGATGAAAGGGCCAAAAGATGTTGAACGTTTTCTTCCAACGTCAAATGCTTGTTTTCGTTGAGTCTTCTCTTGACTTGGAGTTGAAAATCGTGAAAGCGACAGGACACATCTATGTTCTCGAAAATCAAACGTTCATGCTCAGTAGGCACAGCGAAGTCCAATTCGAAAACGCTATTATCTGTTGAGCGCACATCTACATTGAGAGGCAAGACATCAGCTGATGAGTTGCTTGTATTGGCCGGAAAATGATTGTCAATGGGAGCTGGCGATTTGAGTACATCTTGTACAAATGGTAATTTCGTTGCAACAGACACAGGTGTGTCATGAACAGCTAGATCTTTTGGAATCTCGACCGTGGAATCGAAGATGAAATCACAAGATAACTGATGTTTTTTCAAATGAATCTTCAACGTTGCACCATTCTTCAAATCTTTCTGACAAGCAGGATAAGGAAACCCACATTCTTTGCGATCAAGAATATTTTCACCTGTGTACGTTATTGGCAATAGTGTTTGTTAGATACAAATAGATCTTCTTGTTTTGGGAAAATCACTTACCAATTTTAACGTGTAAAACATGACATTCAATAGTATGTATGTTACGTCTGCTTTTGGCGTCCTACTATTAGTTGTCTAACCAATTATAATCTACTAGCTGTAATATAGATAATAAAATTACTATGACCGGTATAACCATCAGTGGCCGAAATAATTATTGATTTACAATAAAAATAATAAAAATTGAATTTTTTTATTTATATTGGTAGCCTCCCACGAGAAAAAAAGAGCGATTGTTTAAAGTACATAACAACAAATAAAAATGAACACAACACAACACACTGAACAACTCGATATTGAAATTAAAAATTTAATTGATAATAAATGGACTTTTCTTGATAAATCTTGGCCTGAAATGCAACATAGATTTAATCATAGAACAGCTATTAAAGATATGAAGAATAATACAATAAATGATATAAAGGATGTATTACTTCATAGATTTGGATTTATACCTGTATTTTATTTTCTTACAGTTTTATATGGAAATATTGAATATCCAGGGCCATACCGCGAGATTGAAAAAGGACTTGCATTATTATATCATATGGTATCAGGTGTATCAGGAAAGGATATGCATACTGTTATGCCATATGCAACATTTTATGATTTGTATAAGCGGTTCTGGATTACTAACTATAATGAATTGAATAAAAAGGTAAAACAAGATTTAGATAGTATGTTCTCATCACCACGTATTCACATTCTATCAGCAATAATAAACAATCCAGATGGTTTTAAGAATGTTACACTATTTATTGATGGACATGATAGTAAAATAAAGTATTATAAACCAAATGAGTCACATTCACAGTTATATTCATATAAATTAAAAGGGCCAGCTGTACGTACACAAGTTATACAGGATATGAATGAAATAATTACACATGTTTCAGTATCTGAAAAATGTGCTATCGGAAATGATGGTACTATGTTTATTAATATGAAACTATATAAAAAAACAAGTGAGGCAGATTGTTTAGGAATGGATGGTGGATATAACTTATTTATACAAAAGTTTAAAGATAATGCGACAGATGCTGGATATAGTTTTTATGACCGTAATTTTTTACATCCCATAAGAAAACCAGGACAAAAGTTAACAATCAATGAGACATACTTTAATAACAAGTTTGGATCATTTCGTTCAGCAATAGAAGCACAGTTCTCTATGTTAGGCTCTAAATTTGAACGGTTTAATAATAATCGTGCAGCATTGCAAATAACCGATATAAGATATTACAATATTCAGTTTCGTGTTGCTTGTATTCTTACTAATATATGGCGATTTGTAAATAAGTATAATATAGAGGTACAACCACATCATAAATTATGGTATGGAAAAGATTTTGAATTCCCAAGTAAGAAAAACAAACTTGACTTAGTATTTTCAAATGAGCAAAAAGTAAATACTGAATATAATGAAATGGTTGACATGCAGCAGAAATTTCTACAGCTTAACATTAATCAATCAATAGATATGGCTATAGATAGTGAGGACGAAACTGAAAATAATACATCTAAACGCAAGAGAAAAAATCAAAGAGAACAGAGAAATATAGAACATAGTACAGTGAACCCCTGCTTTTTGCACCCCCGTTTATTGCAGATCCCCACTTATTGCAACTTTTTTGAGCAGATTCCCGCTCAACACTTAGTAAAATTGCAGATTCCTCGGTTTTTGCAGATTGCAACTTGGAAATCGGGACCTGCAATTTCCCGCTTCAGCCTTATATATTGTATATTTATCTCAAACTTCAGAGACAGTGAGACTCGAACCAGTGACAAAAGAGATACACTATTGTATTCTATTATTTAAGAGCTTTTAAACCAAATAAGGAAAGATGTGATTGCCAGCTTATCGATCCCACTTATGTAACATATTCACATTTTGCAGTTCCTCAGATTTTGCAACTTTTTTGATGGTATTCCCGCTGTTGCAAAAAGCGGGGGTTCACTGTAATTCATATGAAATTGAGAAGATTGTAGGACATGTGTATACTGATAATAGGGGTCGCAATCTGACCCATGGGTCAAAACCGACCCGCGGGTTGAGGACGGGTCAACGGGTCAGGTTGATGCTTTTCTGACCCGCGGGTCAACCCGTCTAACCCTTGACCCGACCCGTTGACCCGTTGTGACCCGTGTATACATATGATATCTATGAGGTACTTGTATTCAAGTACTCAATTTTCTTGTTGGAAAGGATCATTATATTAAAGATGTAGTTGTCAATATGTCTGCTATAGAACTGTAACATAAAACGTACTTATATTCTTTTTCATTGTGGGATCATATTTTATATTCAAAAGTGTAAGATAAGTAAGCTATAAGCAATATATGTAATAGTAGTAAAGAAGTAGCAAAGTAAAGAAGTAGCAATAGTACAATGAGAATAGACAATAGAGAGTGGCAGTGAGAGACGAGATTTGACAAAAGACGTAGAAGGAATTAAGAAAAGAGAAATGAAAGAAGAAGGAAGAAATGAAAAGAAAAGGGAAAAGGGAAAAGGATTAGGGGCATTTAAAGGAGGTCGATTTTTAACCACACTTTAACCATTATGCTTTCTTTAATGCATGTGAGCGCAAACGATTTCTTTTGCTATAGCACAAACCCTTTACCTTTAAGAATAATCACACAAAAGGTAGATATTGCTAGCAGTGCTAGGAATTTGTGTGCCATCATCTTAGAGAGCTGTGTATACATGTAGTTTTGCACTTCCAGTGCTCAAGCTCAGGTTGATTGACACCTCCTTTGTCACCAAATCAAAATCAGTAGTGACCCGTCAATCGAGTTTTGACCCATCGGGTTGAACGGGTCGGGTCGGGTCAGTGTTTTCTTGACCTGTGGGTCAACGGGTCAGACCCTTGACCCGACCCAACCCGTCCAATTGCGACCCCTAGTCAGTATCCTGGTATTGATAAAAATCCTATGGTTTCATCGGTCCGTTGAACCAGAAAATTTCCTACAATTCCATGTTTAAGTTCTCTTTTTTTTTTTCTGCGTTTTTCTGTTTCTAAAAGTAGAAATGTGTTGTTTGCGTCACAAACAAACAAAGAGTAGCGCATCATCATACAGTCAGGCTTATGGAAATTGGCGTTTTCTAAAAAATAATTAGCCGAAAGTCAAAAAAAAATTGATCGGATTTTAAATAAATGTCACAGGGTTAAATTATTTTTGGCACAAGTTGGTAACTAAAATTAGCAGATGGTTTTGACGGTTTTTTTTTCCTTTTGCTTCTTTACAAAAATATAACATACAGCCAAACCTATGGAAATTAGCGTTTTCACAAAAATAATTGTCATTTCCGTAAAAATAATTGGCCGAATGATAAAAAATAAATTTCATAAGCTCAATTTTCTTTGTCATTTTGGTTAAGAGCATCTCCAACCGACGTTTTTAAATTATGGTTTTTGTTTAAAAACCTCGAAATAAAAACTATTTTGCTCCAACCTGGGTTTTTGAATAGTTTTTAAAATAAAAACCTTTTTAATTTTGGCAGGACCGTTTTTGCAACGTTTTTATTTTACACAGTAGACTTGGCTCTTTCATGCATCAGATACTGACTAAGATGGTAGCCTCACCATGTAAAGTAGAAAGTTCGTGTTACAAATAAAGAGTAGAAAAGACCAACTTTTTATTGCTTTCATATAAGCTTTAGCCGAATTTTGTTCTTTTGCTTTAATTTTTTTATACTTGGCCATAATATCAAATGTAAAATGTTCCCATTGTTCTGATACTTTTACAACCAAAGGGGACCAGCCATGGTTATGATGATTTTAATGCAGTCTAGTAACCCTAGATGACTAATTAGCTGAAATATGTTAGGATAGCCAAACTAATTTTTATTAAAATAATTCATGCACGAATGTCTTGGCATGTATATGTTACCGTTTGACATGAAATCACGTTCGATTTAAAGTCAAACGCGTTCGACTTTAAATTTGAAGTCAAACCGGTTCAACTTAAAGCGCTTTTTTTTTCTTTTTCTTTCCCATGTATACTCTAATTTCGCAATAAATAATATTAGAAATCAGTAACTCAATCTTCTTTATTCAACATCTGCAATACACTAGCTTCCACAAAAAAACATAAATAATTGGTTTTCCCCGAACAGCTTGTTCGAGGAAAACCACATACGTTGCTCCATCTATAAACTCGTAAACACTAAACCCTATGAACATTGGGCAGTCTCTTCGAGACTGCCCAATGTAACCCTAAACCACCCTAAACCCTACTACCCTAAAACGACACGCTTGTTATCTTGGTGCATATGAATGAATGCTTTGACTTGACCTTCGAAAGATGAAACAAATTAGTATTTCACGATATTTCATAGTATTTGCTGGGGTAAAACAAACCTGATTATATGTTGGATCACGAGCACTATGTTGACAAGCAATGTGTGCGTCGACACACACTTTATACATATTTTCTTTGATAGCCACAGGGAGTCCAATATTATTTGCGGCAGTTGTGAGCTTTTCGCAAAGAATGTCATGGTCACCGATCTTGGACAATATGAATGTTTTCCTTATCCAGAATCGAAAGTTTGAATTACGAACTTCTTTGTCACCCTACAACGCAAGCAGTTGCTTTAGTATATTTATCTTTTGTCCTTGCTATTCTAATAGTTAGTGTTTTTATTTACGCTTAAGTGTTTAACCGCATCGTTGTAGTCAGTGCGCTTGACTAGTGCCTTCTTGCGGTATTTTGGGGCTAATCCTGCATAGTAGTCGTCAAGGACTTGTTCAAAACGCTGTTTTGAAATCCAAGGTACTTCTTCAGTTGTCTCCACTGTGACCGGTATGGATCTTGATTGTTCCATGTTGTAATTCGCGTTCCATTGAGTTCTATTGCAAGGCAATAATAAAAAAGAAAGAAGGGGCAAAGGGCAGAGGAGTAAAATATCAAAACACGAAAAGATGCGAGTTGCCAGTAAAAAAAAAATTAAACTCGAACGGGTCTGACTTCAAACTTAAAGTCAAACGGCGTTTGAATTGAAGTGAGACGGTCGGATT